TCGTACGTCAATTTTGTTTTTTTTTTCCTTTTATTGGTATCATACAAAATCCCCCGCGGCGCGGGCCAGAATGCGGATGTTGTCCACGAAACCCTCGATCAGCTCGGGGTACTTGTGGGGTTGGCCGCTCGTGGCTCGCTGGCCTTGATCAATGGTCACATGGGGCGCGAGCTCAATCTCGAGTTCGTGCTCCTTGTCGACGCGTTGCGTGTTCTGAGTTCGGGTCAGCATCAAGCATGTCAAGAAGACAGAAAAGAGAGAGAGGGGGGGGCGGAACATACCCCTGGACCAGGTACTGTCTGAGTCACCTGAGTCAGGTCCACCTGATAATGGCTCTGCGTGTAGCTGAGCCGGTCCTTGCTGCGATCGGGAAACTTGTTGCCGTGGCCGACGGCGATCTGCTCGAGCTCCTCAATGGGCCCGTCCCAGGCCGCTTCGAGGTTGATGCTGATGCGACAGTCAAGCGGCGCGTTGGGCATGTGAAGGTTAATGTCGGCAACGCGTGCTTTGACAATCTTGGCCAGAGGCTCTCCGGTCTTCTGGTCGTACGTGACGCGAACCTTGACACTGTGCTTCGGGTTGATGCGTGCCCGCACGCAGCCTGGAAGACGGCCCTGCAGCTGGCTCGGGATCTCGAAGAACTTGTCGACTTCGCGGCGATGCTTGTATTGCACCTGCACACGGTCTCTGACCCGAGGGTCAGGGTTCTGAGGATTCGTATTCAACACCTTGTCGTTGAGCCACTGGTTCATGCCCTTGTGTTGAGCCTAAAAAAAGAGTCAGCGATATTTCATTTACGAGAAGACTGTTGAGCCACATACCGCTGTCATGCTACTACGAAAGGCGATGCGGCCCGTGTCGTGCAGAAGACAAGCCGTCGTGACGAACTTTTCCACCCGCTCGTTCGTGTCCTTGTCGATCAGAGTTCCTAGCTTGGCTTCAATCTCAAACTCAACACCGCGATTGGCAATCTCGCCCGAGTCAGGATTGGCGACGACGTTGAGGTAAAGAAAGTCGGCGACATTCTTGGCAATCTCGTCTGTTGGCTTGACACCAGTAATGCTGGGCTCCCAAGGGCCCAGGATGGCCACAATCTCGTTGTTCGGGTTGTGATCGGCGACTGGGGCGCCCTTGAGCGAGTCGGACCTCACCGCTTCGGGCGAGGCATGCCGACTCGCGAGATCTTGCTTGATTTGCTCCTGCTTCACGACCACCGGAGGCTTGCCGTTCGTGCTGGGTGGTCCTCGTTTCTGGAGTTCGTAGTTGGCCTTGTTCAGTCGGCGGTTCTCTCGGGAGTCCCACCTCTGAGCCCAGACCGGAGGCGTCATGTGCCGAGCTCGTTTCTTCTGAAGAGCCTGGGGCGAAGCGGTAGGAGGCCGAGTCGAAGAGCGGCTCGGCGGGGCGCGGTCGCCGTTTACATGGCCGGGTGGCGGTGGCCTCGTTCCTGCCTTTTCCATTTCTCTTGGACTCAAATCACGATCGGCCAGCTTTCGCTTCGCTGGTGTCGTGGCTCTCTCGCGTTCGGGGTCCATCATACTGGCCACCGAAGGTTGGACGGGGCGCATTTCAGTGTCGGCAATTGTCGATGGGGGTGCGGACGGAGGGCCGCCAGTACTGCTCGGAAGGCTCGGCATGCGGGTTTTCGGACTGATGCTAACACTCCTCTCGCGTTCGCTGTTGGACTGGGATCTTCGGTGGGCGTCGTTGACGCGGGGGTCGTAGGCAGAATGTGAACTGGGAGCGCGAGGTATGGCGGTCGGTGGTGGAGGAGGAGGGGTGGCGTGAGATTGACTGATATGCGACGAAGCAGTCGACATTCGTTGTTGGTAAGGGCTCGAAGGGTGTGGGTAGCTCGGAGCAGCAGAAGATTGTCGTTGTCCGGCGGACAAAGGAGGGCCAAGGGGCGTCGGGGGCTGTGACGGTTGACGGTTATGTTCAGCGGGGTGTGGGCGGTTTGTCGCAACAGGGCTATTGTGTGGATAAGGATGCCCGTACTGGTGCTGGCTTTGAGCGGATGTAGGTGTCGGGGTGGAGTGAGTCGACTGGGATCTCTGGTGAATAAAGGCGTGACCGCTCGAAGTGCCGATGGGAGGTGTCTGTGGCATCGAATGTTGTTGCTGTTGCGGCAGCTGCTGCTGTTGCTGCTGCTGCTGTTGCGGTTGCTGCTGGTGTGGCGCATAGGGACCACTGGGGTGGGCAGGCGGAGGTCCTGTCGCACCATGTGGCGGGCCAGACATGTGCGAGTAGCCATCTCGTGAAGGATAGGTGGTAGAGGGTGGATATTGATGCCGTTGCACAGGGCTGGCGGTCGATTCGGGAGAGCCGTGCGCCGGACCGGACGGCGGGAATGGATACCCTTGGGTCGGCGCGCTCACAGAGGAGCTGGGGGTGTGACGATACGGTGATGGCCCGGGCATGGGAGCACCGCCAGGGGATCGCGGGTCGCTGTACTGGGTCTGCAGTGTCGGCTGAGGAGGTCGGTTTGGGTATGGCCCTGGTGTTTGGTATGGTGACTGCGGGGGATAGGAGCCAGAGTTTGGTCCAGGGCCGGGGCCAGCTTGTCCGTGGACGGAGTATTCTTGGGGCGCAGATGGCTTGCCTGGCGAGCTGTGCAGGGCATGGCTGTATGCCGACTCCCTAAAAGCGAAGGCCGTAGGACCTTGCGCCGGGGTGGTTGGGGTTTGCGCAGACGGCGGCTGTTGCTGCTGGGGATGTTGTTGAGGATGATGTTGCTGCTGCTGCTGTTGCTGTTGCTGCTGAGCATAATGGGGATGCGGCGGTGGTTGCTGTTGCTGCTGCTGCTTCGGAGGACCGTGTGGTGCAGGCTTTTCGGTTCGCTCGCCATCGTCGTTGGTGTTCATCAAGCTCCTGAGATCCATGGCGATGAATTTCGCGATCTCGCGATGGGGCGGCGCGGGCGCGTCTCAGGACGATTGATGGAAAGCCGGGATCTCCCAGGGTAGCGGGTGTGTCGTGACAGGCGATGCTTCTACTGCCGGCGCGGTTCCCTCGGTCCCATGAGGCTGCGCATGTGACGGGGCTCGTAGCGAGGCGAGGCGAGGCGAGGCGAGGAGGAACGAAGGGATGCTGAAGCGCAGGACGAATAATTTTCGGCCGCGAGTCGTCGTCGGTTATCGATGGTTGTCGGCACGGGCTATCATGTAGAGGTCGAATGGCAAATGATGGGCATCACGCCAGTGCGATTCGGAGAATTGGAGATTGTCGGCTGGAGGATGAGCGAAGGTCGACCAGCCAGAAATGCTGCTGCTGCTGTTGGTGGGCGGAACGTGTAGGACAGAGAACAGAGAAGCGAGAATCGTCTGCTGGGTGCGTGCGTGCGTGCGTCTGCGTTTGCGACAGCGCAGAACAGTCGCGGATGCCTGAGGTCGGTCTGACGCGATTGGGTCGGCACTTGGAGAAATGATGAGGCGATGGGTTCGATGTGCACAATTTGGCGTGCGGTTATTGACTAGAGAAAACGGGAAGAAATGCGAATGGATAGATGGATGGATGAATGAATCAATGAACCGTGCCGTGCAGTCAGGCAGATAGATAGGTAAGATGGTAGGTGGTAGGCAGGGTAAGGCAAGGTGCCTACCTAGGTAAGGTAGGATGCAACGGCAGAAACTGAGCGCGTGGTTGGTGGGCGCGTGGCAGGGATACGTCGTTGCGTTAAAAGATGGACAGAAGACAGCCGATGGTCAGTCACTCAGTCAGTTGATCTGTCAGTCTCCATTCTCAGGAATCAGGGGAATTCATGTTGAGACGAAAGATGTCGAAATGGACGGAGCCTATTGTCCTCGCTGTCCCCTTTGACGATAGCTTCTTCAGTCCGACCCAGATCAGCCTAGGTTGGTTCAAAAATTCAGGATCTGTCTTAGGACGCTCCAGGCTACGTAACGTACTCAGTCAGAATCGCTTTTTACTTCATTCATCAAGTCTCAGGCTAGTGTAGTTTGGCTAAGGTAGTTGGAGGGAAAAAAAAGGCAAAGGCTGTCTGTCGATCCTCTCAGGGGCCATTGCAATGCACGGACGCAGTCACAGGAAGACAGGCAGCCACCAAATAAGTGCATAGATGATGAGATGAGAGATCATGACGGACAAGGTTATCTAGGTCTGAATGCACAGCAGCATGGGCAGGCAAGGCAGATTGAGATGATGGCCTGAGCGATGAAACCCAGCTATCGCACCTATGACATGGTGGTGAGGAAAAATCAATCCATTTCCACCGGCCACTCATCTTTTTTTTTCCCCTTGCCCCGGATCATATTTTTTTTCTTCCCTTGTCTTGGGTGAATGGGGCGGGATAAGGCCACATATGGCCTTACCGGGCGATTCTGGTATTGCCACAGGTCTGGCTTCCAGAAGCAGGCTTCAGACCTGTATGACGCATCCATGTTGGGCAAGTGAGAAACAGTCCCGGCCTGTGGCCTCCCACAAGGCCACGAACGCCAGTCCTGTGACAGGAGCTACTCTCCATGTGGTCTAGCGGGTTGGCAGACATGTTTCTCTGCTGTCTGAAATCACGTGATAAGGCTTCGCAAGCTCGGTAGTCAGCCGCCCGGCCCCTGGTCGCCTGCCACCTGCCCTACCATCATGGCCCACCTTGCCTACCTGCAGACGGCCTTGACGGGAGCCAAGCCTAAAGCGTGCTTACTCATGCTGTCGCCGGATGTGGGTCCGTGCAGCTCTACGCAAGCCAGCAGCGCCAGGCAGACTGTGCCTGACGTGGTTCATCTCGCGACCTCGCTTGCTGTTCCCTGGAGAGAGCACCAATCGACAACAACACCTCCATCGGCCTCCATCAGCCTCCATCCGCCGCTCTCCATCGACTCTTCGACATCAGGCGGCGCTCTGTAATCGAATCTCAACCCGTCCAAAGCTGTTACTATCTTTCTTTCCTTACTCTCCGCCTGCAGCCGTTTTCGAACTTTCCACGTCACGAGTCGCCATCGCAACAGAATCATCCACACCCTTTCTACCTTCCGAGAGCTTTCAAAATGCCGGGCCTGGTATCGGCAACCGGCGTTCTGGGCTTCCTCGCCGATGAGGAGAACGAGCTCAAGGTCTTCGCGCTTGAGACCCTGAATGACGATATCGACACCATCTGGACCGAGGTTGCTGGAGCTCTGGGCCAAATGTGAGTAGTTGCCTCCCTCCCATCTTCCCCCCCGAACTATCCAAGCTAACCGGGCCGTAGCGAGGCTCTCTACGAGGACGAATCTTTCCCCGACCGCCAGCTCGCTGCCCTCGTCCTTGCCAAGGTCTACTACCACCTCCAAGCCTACAATGAGAGCATGAGCTTTGCCCTCGCCGCCGGCGATCTGTTCAAGCTCGACGCCCCCGGCGAGTTTGAGGAGACCATCATCTCCAAGTGCGTCGATCACTACATTGCCGTCTGCGCTTCCGAGCACACCGTTCCCACCGCCGTCAAGAATGATGCATCGCTGCCTGCGCTGGCCACGACTTTTGCCAGCGGTGCTGCCGACGGCACAGCTCTGATGTCGCCGACAACACCCTTCTCCCAGACCACCCTCCCGTCCAAGTCTCTGCTGTCCCGCGCCTCTGTCGACAACACGATTCTGGACCCTACCTTCCAGCCAGTAAAAGAGGGCCGTTCCGGCTCCATCGCGCCTGTTGCCGACAAGTCCACCCGAGAAGCCCTGCAAAGGGTTGTCGAACGCCTCTTCGAGTCGTGCTTGAAGGAGGGTCGCTACAGGCAAGTGGTCGGCATTGCTGTCGAGGCCAAAAACCTCGAGGTCCTCCGGCGAGTCATTAAGCGCGCCAGCGACGATGAGAAGACGGCCAAGGGCAAGGCGTCCGACGCTCCGAGCCCTGCCGACGAGCTCATGGAGTACGCCCTCAGCATATGCATGGATCTCGTCCAGGAGCGTAGCTTCAGGACGGAGATCTTGCGCCTCATTCTCGATCTGCTGAACGACATTCCAAACCCCGACTACTTCGCCATCGCGAAATGTGTTGTCTACCTCAACTCCGACGAGGAGGCGTCTCACATGCTCCGACAGCTCGTCTCAAATGAAGACCGCGTTTCCATTACCAATGCGTACCAGATCGCATTTGATCTATACGACAATGGCACACAGGAGTTCTTGGGCAAGATCATCAAGTCGCTGCCCTCTGGGGAGGCTCCCAAGAAGCCTGCTGCCTCCGAGGATGACAATGACGACAGTGAGGAGGCCGAGCCGCTACTGGAGAGCGAGGACTCTGCCGAAGAGCCGGTGTCGGATGACCTGGCCAAGGTCTATAAGAACATCCGCGCCATTCTGGACGGCAGCAAGACCATCAGGCTCAACCTTGAGTTCCTATACCGCAACAACCGTACCGACCTCAGCATCCTGAACAAGGTTCGCGACAGTCTTGAGGGCCGCAACTCCATCTTCCACACCGCCGTCACCTTCTGCAACGCCTTCATGAACCAGGGCACCACCAACGACAAGTTCTTCCGCGACAACTTGGATTGGCTCGGCAAGGCTGTCAACTGGTCCAAGTTCACCGCCACTGCTGCTCTCGGTGTCATTCACCGTGGCAACCTGACGCAGTCCCGGAAACTCCTCGAGCCGTACCTGCCCCAGGCCGGTGGCCTGAGCAGCGGATCCATCTTCAGCCAAGGTGGTGCTTTGTACGCCTACGGCCTGATTCATGCCAACCACGGAGCCGACGCCCTCGACTACCTCAAGACGCAGTTCGCGTCCGCCGAGGAGGAGGTGATCCAGCACGGCGGTGCTCTCGGACTGGGCATCGCAGGCATGGGTACTGGCTCCGAGGAGATCTTTGACAACCTCAAGAATGTTCTCTTCACCGACTCTGCCCTCAACGGTGAGGCCGTCGGTCTCGCCATGGGTCTGATCATGCTGGGCACTGGCAACGTCAAGGCTCTCGAGGACATGATTACCTACGCTCACGAGACGACGCACGAGAAGATTGTTCGCGGTCTTGCTATCGGCATGGCCCTGATCATGTACGGCCGCCAGGAGGGCGCGGACGCCATGATCGAGGGTCTCCTCAACGACCCTGACCCAACTCTGAGGTACGGTGGTATCATGACCGTCGCCCTCGCCTACTGCGGCACCGGCAGCAACAAGGCCATTCGTAAGCTTCTCCACACTGCCGTGAGCGATGTGAACGACGACGTCCGCCGCATTGCTGTCATGAGCTTGGGTTTCATCCTGTTCCGCAAGCCCGGCAGCGTGCCCAGGATGGTTGAGCTCCTCTCCGAATCCTACAACCCTCATGTGCGTTACGGTTCCGCCATGGCGCTCGGCATCTCGTGTGCGGGCACCGGCCTCGACGAGGCCATCGACCTACTGGAGCCTATGATGAAGGATCCCACCGACTTTGTCCGCCAGGGTGCTCTCATCTCGCTCGCCATGATCATGATTCAGCAGAACGAGGTCATGAACCCCAAGGTGGCTGCGATTCGCAAGACGCTGAAGAAGGTCGTCGGCGACCGCCACGAGGACGCCATGACCAAGTTCGGCGCTTCGCTGGCTCTCGGCATCATTGATGCTGGTGGCCGCAACTGCACCATCGGCCTCCAGACCCAGAGCGGCAACCTGAACATGGCCGGCATTATTGGTATGGCCGTGTTCACGCAGTACTGGTACTGGTTCCCCTTCACCCACTTCCTCTCGCTGGCCTTCTCCCCGACATCCATCATTGGCCTCGACCACGACTTGGAGATCCCTCAGTTCAAGTTCCACTGCGCCACTCGCCCCAGCCTCTTTGACTACCCCCCCGAGCAGGAGGTCAAGGCCGAGGAGGGCCCCACAATGGTGGCGACCGCCGTGCTGTCGACGACCGCCCAGGCCAAGCGCCGTGCTCAGAAGAAGGAGCGCGCCCAGCGTCGCGAGAGCATGGACATTGACCAGCCCAAGCCGGCTGTCGACAAGATGGAGGTTGACGAGGAGAAGAAGCCTAAGGCTGCCGACGAGTCGTCCAAGGACAAGAAGGAGGCCGAAGGCGAGAAGGGTACCCCTGCCCCTGTGGATGCTAAGAAGAAGGCCGAGAAGGAGAAGGTCGGGTACGAGATTGAGAACATGTCGCGTGTTCTCCCGGGACAGCTCAAGTTCGTCAGCTTCCCGTCGGACCGGTACCGACCCGTCAAGAAGGTAAGCATTCTCCTATTCCGACGCGCGACGGAATCCGGCAGCAAGCTAACAATGACACCAGCCCAGCGGTGGTCCCCTCCTCCTGGAGGACACGCAACCGGATGAGGAGAAGGTCCTCATGGAGGAGAAGCTGAAGAAGGTGACGACCGAGAAGGCCCCCGTCGCGGGCCAGAGGAACGGCGGCGGAGAGCGTCCTGAGATGACCACCCGCCAACAGCAGGAGCTCATTCAGCAGGCACTCCGCGCCGGCGCCAGCGGAGACCTCCGCTCGCTGAACGAGTTCAACAACCTGCTGAGCCAGACGCGGGTGCGCCACGATGACGACGACGACATGGGCGGCATTGGTGCCGCGGCGGCCGCTGGTGTTCTGACGGCGGTGGACGAGGATGGCGAGGGCGATGAGGAGGCGACTGTGCCGGATGAGTTTGAGTACTTTACCGACAGCGAGGACTAAGAAGGTCTGCCAGGCACGCTGCGAGAGATGCGTCGGGTAGACGTGAGGCCGGAATCGGAAGGGGCAACACGGAGCGAGGAGGTGTGTACACCAGACAAGGGAGGCGGGGAGGAGCAAACCGCTCCGCGGCTGTATTTCTAGCCTATTTGCAGCGACGGGGGCGGCTGGGTAGAGAAGGTATAGATGGAAAGGCCTTTTTTTCTTTGCGCGCGAGAAGTGGCCGTCGGTTGTTGCTGTTGTTGTTGTACAGTAGGCGTGTTTGTACGTGTATGATACCGTGCCTTTCTGCCTTCGTCGTCTTGAGTTGCATGTCCCTTCGCACGTGAGGAAGATGGGAATGTATGAATGCATTATGCCTTTCCTCAACCACTGTCAAGGTGTGAAATATAATAAGTACATGAAACCCGTGAGAATGATGTCCTTGATGAAGCGCCGCGCTTAACCCCCCGCCATCCTTCCGCTATCCGCTGGCCAGAAACGAAATCGCCCTTCTGCCATGCTTTGCTTGGAAGCCCAAAATCTCGCTACAGTTACCCCCAGCACAGAAGGAAAAAAGGGCAGGAATGCCGATTGTATATTGGTTTTGGTTTTGGTTTTCTTCTTCGTCTTCTTTTTGCGTGCCTCGTCCCTCACCTGTTGTCTTCGTTGACGGCCTTCTCGGCCTGGCACTCGGAGCAGACGCGGTACCGATGCCAAGCATTCGTGAGGTTGCCCCTAAAGTTCCAGATGGCCTCGTAGCCGTCGGGCTGGGCGTTGTACGCCTCGTCCGTCGCCTTGACGAGAAGCGTCGAGCACACCTTGCCGCCCTCGGGGCCGTCGCCAAAGGGCACGACGCCGTCGTAGCGCCACCGCTGCCAGGCCCAGGACTTGTGGCCGTGGTCCTGGGACGCCCGGTCCGGGCCGGGCTTGACCGTGTCGGCGAGGAGCTTGGCCTGGTCCCAGGTGCGGCCGTTGTCGAGGCTGACGTCGACGCGGACGATGCGGCGTCCACCGCCCGAGTAGGCGTAGCCCGTGACGGCTGCTTCGCGGCCGCGGGCCTCGGGTGGCGGGGTCAGGAGGCGGCCGCCAGGAGCCTTCATGGGGGGCACAGCGGTCCAGGGGCCGAGCTTGACGGCGGTGATGGCGCTCGTGATCGGCATCTCCTGGATGGCAGGGGCCGTGGTCCAGTCGGGATGGGTCTGGTTGGGTCCGAACAGCTTGTAGTCCTTTTGTTGCCACTGGCTCTGGCTTTCGTCTTCAGAAACAATCACACGGCGAAGCCACTTGACGGAACGCGCCGCAACGTGACCGGGCACGAGGGCGCGAAGGGGGAAACCGTGATCAGGAGGTAGTGGTGCGCCGTTCATAGCATAGGCGAGGATCACGTCGCCGCGGGGGTCAAGAACAGGATCGATGGGGATGGAGGCGCCGTATGATTCGAGACCGGCAAACTGCACGTGGCGAGCGTCCGTGTCTCCTGCGCGAGCTTCGGCGAGGGGGAAGCCCGCGTCGGCAAGCACATCGGAAAGCTTGACGCCTTCCCAGACGGCGTTGGAGATAGCGCCGACGTTCCACTGGATGCCATTTGTGTCGCGAGCGTGGGTTGTCATGTCCTTGCGACGGTTGCCAGAGCACTGGAGAGTCGCCGCGATCTTGACGGGTTTGAACTTGGTCTTGAGGTCTTCGACGGTGTAGTCCTTGGTTGTGCCATCGAGGAGCTCAATGGTGAGGGTGTGTTGCTTTGGGTCTTCGACTTTGGGCACCCACATGTGGTTACGCACGTAAAAGAGCTCCTGCGGTGTGACAAATGTCTCGGCCAGCTCGTCCAGCGGTGTCTCAGCGTTGCGCGGCTTCGAGGTCATTATGACCAGCCTCTGGTCGCGGGCGGGATCGTCTCGGAAAGGGTCCTCGATAAGCTCTGCCGGGGGCTGCCCATCCACAGATCGGCGACGTCGATGAGTCCGATCATGTACTGGGCAAGAATCTCGCGAACGTAGGGAGCCTTGTGGACGGTGAAGATGTTCCAGTAGGGGTCAATGCTGCCTCCGGCGGCGCGCAGGATGACGTCGCCTCCAGGATGTGCTCCGATCCAGTCTGTAATGTCGTAGACCTTGTCCTCGTGGGTGACCCACGGCCTCTCCGAGTCGGGTCCATGTTCCTTGACCTCAGATAACCTGAAGCGAGGTAGCTCGGGGTCTCGACTGTCATTGCGCTCAGGGGGCGGTGGAGCCTCGTCTTTTGTGGTGCTCGTCGGCTCAGCAAATCCAGCGAAGGCTGACAGCAGCCCAGCGCTGGCAATGAGGGTGACGGTCGCTGGCCTGGCGCGGCGAGACGACCTCCACCAAGACGTTCGCGGTCTGGACGACGGCGAAGACGACTTTGGTGGGGCGCGAGGTGAGGGCGAGGTGTGAAGGCATTGGCAACGTCGGGAGGAGGGCCGCACGGTCGAGGCAAGGTGTTGTCGGGTCGCCAGCTGCGAGAGTTCGCAGGTCAGGCGTCGAGGTGCCTGCAGGCATCGAGGTGCCTGCATTGGGCGTCGAGTGTGACGTATTGCTGGTCGTTGTCTTTGTTGGTGGCGTTGTTCTTTTTTTTTTTTTTTTTTTTTTTGGAGCTGGTGGTTATTGGCGAGTTGCCGTCGGTGCAGGAGGTCTCCTTCTTGGAGCTGCGAGGGGGAAGTCAAGTGAGGCGTTGTCGGGAGGAGAGAAGGCAAGGGAGGTTATACGTAAGGTAAGAGTCAGTTCCTCGTTGGTTGTCTGTGAGGCACCTCGTGACGATGCGTGGACTAAGGTAACAGGGATGCCGGCTCGGGGTTTGATGGGGCCCAGTTCAATTGGAACGAACGGCGAGGCGAGAGATAATGAACCCTTTTTTTTCTTATCAGGTGGACCGCGATCGGCGCAGGGTCGACTCCCCGGTACAGGTACCTTTGTACCTGACTTGGTGCCAGGGGCGGGCGTAGTCAAGGTGGTCAGGAGAGCAACGACAATGAAACCGCATCAGAAGCCGGGAGGTCGCCGACCTTCTTGTACACCGATTCTGCCTGCACCTGCACCTCGTGTGACTGAAGAGGAGAGAGAGGAGCGAGAGGATCGAGGGGAGCGAGGGGAGAAACCCAAATGGTCACCGGGCATCGTTGGTGTCTCGGGTCGGCGACTTTGTTACGTATTGTCATGTCCCTGTCCGTGTCGCCTGCCCGATTGGAGATGCATTTCGGCCGATGGTTGCCGCTGCCGGTTCCGCGACTCAGAAGGTGCGACGCTTGCTCCTCCCTCTTGTCGGGATGCACCTGCCGCTGCACCTGTGCTGCACCTGTGCTGCACCCGTGTCGTCACCGGCATTTGCTGTTGGCCGCACCTGTCCTGCCTCTGCTGCTGATCTAGAAGGCAGCTGCCACCGGCTGGTCAGGGGCAGGTCCAACTCACTGGCCATCACCTAAGCAGTGAACCACCACAGGAGGTACGGAAAGGAACAACATGCATCAACATCTATGAAAGAAAACCATCACCAAACCCTAATCTCCGCCGAAGACTTCATCTCGCCCTCATCATACGTGCTTCGTCCTCTTTGCTGTCCGTGCTGGGTCCTTCTTCCGCCTGTCTTCTTCTTCCTGCACCTCCTTCTGCACCTCCTGCTGCTCCATCGCGAGCTCCTCCTTGCTCGGTCGATAGGATGGATCGGTTCGCGCGTCGCCTCGTTTTCGCTTACTGCCGCTGCCACCGCCGCTGCTAGTCACACCATCGCCCGTTGTCTTGCTGGCGGCTGGCGTTTTTGGTGTAGGCATGGCGCGCTTTTGCCCGGCTTGACTGCGTGGGGCTGTGTCGCCTTTGTCGCCTTTATCACCACTGCCGTTATTACTACCACCACCGCCTCCGCCGGTCCCCCCAGGTGGCGGTGGCGGGAACGGCATCCCCCAAGCATTGCTGTTCTCGTTCCGGTTCGGATCAAACTCCCACGTTGTCGTGCTGCGCGCAAAGTTCCCATCAGTAGGGTAAATTGTCCGCGCGTACGTGGGATGGCCCGTCGCAAAGTTACTCCTCAACTTAGTGATTCCCCCCAGGTTAGACATCTGCACCTTAGACAAGAAGCCCGACCTGTTGGGAACGGAGCCGGCCTCGCTGCCCCGCTGGTAGGGGATGCGGCAGCTGCGCTTCGGGTCACAGTGAGCCTGTACATGTCTTGTCAGTAACCCATCGTCAAGGGTGATGGATAGGGTAGGCGAAGTGTTTTGTGTGAGACGTACCATGACCTGCTGCTCCCACGAGAGCTTCCCCGGACCAATATTATTCTTCCGGGGCATCTTGCGGAGGCACCGTGAACAGTAGTCTGTTTCCACAACGGTGAAGTCGCCTTTGGGGAGCTCTTTCGGCAATGTCGTTTCTTCTCCAGGCATCTTTTCCTGAGGCGCCTTCTTTCCGCTGCCGTCATCGCCATCATCGCTGCTGTCATCCGAACCCTTTTTCTTCTCTGTCCTAAGCTCTTTCGCTGCCCTGGCCGCCCTCATCCCAGACGCGATTTGTTCCGGCGTCTCGAGCTGCCACTCCTCGCTGCCGTGCACCTGCTTCTTGTGTAGCAGCCACTGCTCCGGCGTCATGAAACCCACCATGGCACCACACACGGCGAAGGCCGGGCATCGCTTGTCGCGCCTGTCGAGCCCGTACTCCTTGGGGTCCCACAAGGGGTGGCCCTGCCTGAACGGATTCTCCGTCGGGTGGGTGGTTTTCTGCGTGTTCGAGTTAATCCGGACATCGTTCCACAGGTCGAAAACGTGGCACTCCATGTGCCGCTGCTGCTGGGCGCGTGAAGCGAGATACACTTGCGTCTCGCCTTCAGCGACCGGCGCCGTGAAAGATAGATCGCACAACGGACACGTTTCGAGGGGCTTATCGTCATTGTGGTCGGCCTCAAAGTGGTGCAGCACGCTCGACGCGTCAAGCCCAACGAGAGCCGCTCTGCAGACGCCGCAATCCTGCGGCGGGTCAACGACCGAGTCCCGCGGCCCCTGTTTCTCCCACCAAGCAAGGGGTATCAGGAGGGCCTTTGTCGCCCTGTGAGGCAGCCGAAGCACCTGGTTGAAGGCGCGAGGCCCATCGTACTGCTCATCGTACGGTCGCGTCCACTCGCGCCAGTAGTCCTCATCGTAGAGATCAAAGGGCGTCATCTGGCCTCGTTGCACCTGCAAACTTGGGTGCACGTGATCGTTTCGGCATGCGTTGATATGTACCTTTTTGGCCTCAATCATGTCCTCGACCTTGTCGGCCCCGGGCGCGGTATCGAATTTCAGCTGGCAGTAGGGGCAGAAGGTGCCAATGACGCTGAAGAATGCGCCACAGAACTCGCGGTGCTTGTCAATGTACTCGTCGGAGTACTGGCCGAGCGAGAGCCCGCAGGATGTACAGAATGGCTTGCCTGAGTGGGCGAGCCCCCTGCAGCGATGCGGGAGCTTGGCCGTGGGATCCCAGTTCAGGGCGTCGTTCTCCGTATTCCACACATGAGAACCGCACGTCTGGCAGAAGGTGCAGGCACCGGCACCTTCAGCATGGGGCACGCAGACCCGGTCGTGGTGCCGACGGTCCTTTGCATCGTCGAGCATGTTGTGGTCGCGCCCGCAGCGGTCGCAGAAGCTAAACTCCATCTCTTTGGGGTTGGCCTTGTTGGGTGGCAGGCGAGCAACCCTGAGGTCGGTAGGCCTTTTGACAACTTTCTCAAAGATGGAGTTCGGCTTGGCCGTCCACGAGAAGGGTTGCGGGATAAGTGTCCTGGTGACGATGGCGCCATTGGCCTCCTGCTGCTGCTGCTTCTCGATGAACGGGTTCGTGACGGGCTTGTTGGCCGGCTTGAGGACCGAACGCAGTTCCGCTTCGTGCTTGATCTTGAAGTGGCGGTCTCGCTGGGGCTTGTCCCAGTGTTCGTACAGCTTTTCTGGACACCACGGGCAGTTGTTCGTCGTGTGCTGCCTCAGATGCCTGCTGATCTTGTCCATCTTGTCAACCCGGTAGCTGAAATTGCAGTTGGGGAACGGACAAAAGGCGATTCTCTGGATGTTCAGGTTCCGAAGCTCGTGGAAGTCTCGCTGCATCCGGGCCACCTCTGTCGGCGTGAGCGTCCCCTTGGACAGTACAGGGACCCGGCCCTTGCCGATGCGCATGATGGCTTCCCTGGGAGGCGCGTTGGTGGGGATCGAGGGGTTGTACGTGCCCGAGTCCCAGATGCTGGGTTGCCGAGCCCACGACAGCTCGCGCTGGTCAATCTCGTGCTTGAGAAACGGTTCTTCGTCCTTTCCCCAAATCTCCTCGTCCGTGAGAAGTCTGTCCTTTTTTGACTTGTCATTGTCTCCAGCCTTGGATCCGTTCTTGGAGGAGGGGCCCAGCTTCTTCTTGAGCTCTTCAAAGACGGGGTCGCCTGGCTTGGGCAGCGTCTCGAAGCCTATCCGCTCCCGCCACTGGTTGACGAGGCCGTAGCGTGGGCCCCATGGGTGCGAAGAGCTGTTGGAAGCCGTCATACGCTCGATGAAATCAGAATGATTATTTGAGAGCAGCTCTGCGGTGATGATTTGGCTCGTCATCTGGCGACGCATGGCGCGCATTTCATCATGGCTCGTGGTAGGCAAAACAACAAATGTCCGCGTGTTGGGACTATCCACCGGGCCATCGGCGAGAGAGACGAGATTATTCTTTAGCATTGCCATGGTAAGCGCGCCGGTTCGCGAGACAGGCTGACCTTCAGCCACGTTTGTGGAAGCGACAATGAGCTGCTCGTAGAGCATATCGACACTCTCCAGTTGCTCCGGAAAGGGGGCGGTCCCCTCCCACCCTTTCAAGCGCAGCTGGCATGTCGTGTCGTCGGCAATGTCGCGCTCATACTGAGGCTGGAAGACAAACGCACAGCCGTTACCGTGCGTCTCCGTGACGTAGGCCTGCATGAGTCTGGTCATGTGCAGCTCGGTATCCGCCAGCTTGTCGACGTCGTCCTCGCGAGGGTCCCACTGCCCCATGGGCATGGACCGATGGCCCGTCAGGAACTCGTCGTGGGACCACACGAAGAACGACTCAATCTGGGTGTTGGGGTACTCGTCGTGGCAGAAGCTGTCGAGCTTACGACGGAGATTGCTGAACGGCCAAGGGATTTCGAAGACACCGCCGAGATTGGGGTTCCCCGGCGCCAGGAGGACGGCGGAGCGGGGGTCCAGATCCCGCCGCAGCAGCTGGAGAGTGTGCCGCGTGTCCGGGGTTGGGGGGACCATCCAAAAGAAAACATTCGCGTTGATCTCGTTCCCGCCGTACCAATGCGTGGTGGCAGGTCGGCCTTGGTTCGTCTTGATCTTGCTGCCGTCGCCGAGGGCATAGCGCAGGAGAGCATGGGGACCTCTGCGGCCCTCTGGCGGGCGGCCGAGGAGGACCTCTTGCGCGTTCTGCAGAAAGGGCATGTAATGGTTGGCACCAAAGTCCCAGTACAGATTGGCGTTCTCGTCGGGGCCGTTAAACCAAGTTTTCGAAGGGGTGCGGAAATAGGCAACACGGGGCTGCCCCCTATCGACATGATTCAGCTCGACGAGGGTGTCAAAGGTGCTGGTCGAGGGGATATATGTCTCGGGCGCCTTCTCGCCAGCACGGTGAACAAACCACGCAGTCTGCACCAAGGTGAAGTGGTCGGCGATGTAGTTGATCACATCAGCGTGGGTCTGGAAGAAGGTCTCGTCCTGCTTTTGGTGTGTCGTTGCGTTGTATCGTTGGAGAATAACGTCGCAGTCGTGCCCGGGACGCATCGAGAGCAACGCCTCGAGGCCCCGTTCTGCCTCCTTTCTTTTCATGACGTCAATGTAAATACGTCCCTGGAAACCGTAGAGCCAAGTCTGCGAGGGCAGTGATGCCGTTGCGGGGGGCCGGTATGTTGTTTGTTCCTGGTTGGAAACGTCCTTCATGACAACATCATCTCCTGGCGCAGGCTTCGGCGCAGTCTTCGATGCAGGCTTCGGCGCAGGCTTCGATGCAGGCTTCGGCACAGGCTTCGACACGTCCTTCTCGAGAGATGGGTTTTCAACGTCGTCGTCTGCTAAGTTCTCGTCGCCCTCTTCTACTGGAAAATTGTCAGGGTAATCATCTTGGAGCTCGTCATCTTGGAGCTCGTCATCTTGGAGCTCGTCATCTTGGAGCTCGTCATCTTGGAGCTCGTCATCTTGGAGCTCGTCATCTTGGAGCTCGTCATCTTGGAGCTCGTCATCAGTGGCGCCGCCTCGCAGGCCGAGAACGGGCTCGTCACCGATGCCTCGCAGACTCGATGCAGCGACGGGCAGAGTGCTGTGCCCGGCCTCTCGCCCCCGCCGGTGGTCATAGCCGTAGTTGCGCTGGTCGTGAGCGGTGAGAAAGTGCAGAGGCGGGCGAGCGGTGCCCCCCTCCGTTGCATTGTCATCAAGAAGGTCGAACCTTGGCCGCTGCGCGTCAAAGAGGTGCGAGATGGCCGGCTCGATGGGCAGGCCGAAATAGAGCATGGCGAATTTGCTAGCGAGCGAAAGAGGATGGCCTCTAAACCTGGTGCGCAAGATGTCTCTGTAGCGTTGCGTGTTCTCGTCTTGTATCTGGACGAGGCTTGTGGACTCGGGGTTCGGTAAAAAGAGCTTTGCCTCATGGGGTGTGAAGTACTTGTTGAGGACGTCACCGACGGCGACGCGGGGATCAGCGAGATGGAGCCTGAACTCGTCCTCGATTTGCGTGTACTGCGCGTCCGAGGGTAGGATCAGGGCGTTGTAACGGTTCTCTGGCGGCACTCGTGGGATGTTGGGCTCACGAGCGCCCTGTCCTCCGAGAGGCAAGCCTCCAACAAGCTGGGTCATGGCGCAAGGGAAATGGGCGAGGATGAAGATGGTCTAGGGGAGCAACGATACAGCACAAGATTGCGGCACATGCGAGAGAGCGGTATCAGTCGGGGTTGCGAAGAGATATGGAGATTGGCCGATGGACCCAACAAGACGGTGACAGTAGTAAAAAGAAGAGAGCGTATGGCAAGGAGACGGGGATTGGCATCGTGGGGTGAAGCAAGTGCGCAATGTTATGGATGACAAGGCGAACAAAGATGAACGAGTGGAAGCTTCTTCCATGGAGATGCCCCATGGACTCGTCGTGTGGCGAAGCATTGTATTCGGGTTTGAAGGGGGGGGATCCTGATGAATGGAAATCTGCCTTTGTTCACCTTTGTCAACAAAGGCGGGCAGTGTATAAGGAGGATCTGGGCGTTGCCAGTGTGGCGGAGATTTTGAAGCTCCTTTCTCGATGGTAACAAAGAGCAACTATGTATGTTAGTCTCCGAAAGCGTCCGGTAGGCCTCGATAGACACTCCAGGAATGCGGATGCTGCGAAAAGGGATATCAATGGCTGTCTCGAGGTTGGAGAGCAGACAAAGCAACGGGGTAGCTCATGGGGACGCTTGTCCTATTGTCAGGCTACGGACTATAGCTCTGAGGGTAGACTTGAGCACCGCACATCCTTGGCTATCCAGCTATCCAGTGACCACATGGTATGGTGAGAGAAGTGTCGGTGGTATTGGGGTGGTAGGTCATCATGTCGGCCATGGTGTTTTGAGAAGGAGAGAAGGGGAGAAGGAGAGCAACAGAGAGAAGAGAGGGAGGGGTCCTGCCAGCTGAGAATCGGCACCAGCTGTCGACGGTGGATGATGAGTAGAGGCCCCCTCATTGGCTCCACCACCACCATCGATCGTGCCTGCCAGACCACGGCTCGGTCTACTTCGGACACCAGCAAAAGTCCATGGTCTGTCGAACTGTCTAACTACCAACCTAACCACCATCATCCATCACACCGTCCCATCGACCCCCCCTGGCCATCCTCCGCCCATCAATCGCTTCCCGAATGGCGCATTGATACGGAAACACTTCTTCTACAGGTGATGCTGGCCTGATCGTCGCCCCCCCCCCCCCGCCCAGCCTACCATGGGGCCGCCTGCGCCAAACCGAACCCTCCTCCGCATCAACCTCCTCGATCCCTCCACCATCTGTCGACAATGCACAGCTCAGCTTCGCCCCGTGCTGCGCGCACCCTCCCATGCGCCACTCCTCGCACGCCGCGCCGTCTCGACAACTCCCTCTAGTCGCCTCAGCGCCAGCTACTTCCTCCCCAACAATGCTCTCGAGCGCGCCGCCGCCTCGGCCGTCAAGGCCCGCACACAGAGCCAGAGCAGTCGAACGTCGGCCACTGTCACGAACGACTCGTCGTCAACAACAGCAGCAACAGCAAAAGGCTCGGCTTCGACAAGTCGCCTAGACGCAACACAGCCCCCGGTCAATGCCGAACTACCACATCGACGTCGCCAGGCTGCTCGGCGAGCCGCCGCTGCTGCTGAAGCAGAAGCTGACTCGGGCTCCTCCTCCTCCTCCTCCGCCGTCCTCCCGGCCCAAGATGCCTCCTCGGCCCTCACCACAGTGGCCGCCAGCCAGCCGGCCCGCTCGCTGCGCCGCATCCTCTCCGCCTGCCTCTCGCTGTCGAAGCCGAGGCTGACGGTGCTCGTCGTCCTGACGGCCATGGTGCCCTACGCCCTGTTTCCGGTGCCGTCGTTCCTGTCGCCCGCCGTCACCGAGCTGCCGTCGCTCTCGCCGCTGACCCTCCTCTTCCTCACGACGGGCACGACGCTCTGCTCGGCCTCGGCCAACGCGCTCAACATGCTCTACGAGCCGGCCACCGACGCCAAGATGTCGCGCACCCGCAACCGGCCGCTCGTCCGCAACATCATCGCCCCGCGCGTCGCCCTGCTCTTCGCCCTCGTCGGCGCCGCCGGCGGCATCGGCGCCCTCTACTTTGGCGTCAACCCCACCGTCGCCTTCCTCGGCGCCGCCAACATTGTCCTCTACGCCGGCGTCTACACGCCGCTGAAGCGCGTCACGGCCCTCAACACGTGGATCGGCGCCGTCGTCGGCGGCATCCCGCCCCTCATGGGCTGGGGCCGCCGCCGCCGGCGAGTCGGCCACGCTCGACGGCGGCTCCTGGCGCCAGCTCCTCTTTCGCATCGGGCGGCGGCCTCCCTCGGCGGCTGGCTGCTCGCCGGCCTCCTTCGTCGCCTGGCAGTTCCCCCACTTTCATGGCCCTCTCCTGGTCCAATCCGCGACGAGTACCGCGCCGCCGGCCTGCGCATGCTCGCCTGGACCAACCCCGCCCGCAACGCCCGCGTCGCCCTGCGCTACAGCCTCGCCTTTGCGCCCCTCTGCTTCGCCCTCTGCGCCGCCGGCGTCACCGAGTGGTCCTTTGCCCTCACGAGCCTGCCCGCCAACGCCTGGCTCACCTGGCAGGCCTTCCGCTTCTGGCGCGCCGCCGGCCACGCCGGCACCGCCCGCGGCCTCTTCTGGGCCAGCGTCTGGCACCTGCCCGTCGTCCTCGGGCTCGCCACCCTGCAGAAGAAGGGCATGTGGAGCCGCGTCTGGGCCTCGCTCTTTGGCGCGCCGCACGACGACGACGACGATGAGGAGTGGGATGAGCTCGACGAGACGCCAGCCCCGCTGCTGCCGCCTCGCAAGGCGTGACAGTGGCGTGCGCATGTTCAACTAGTGTGTGGCCGCCGTAGAATGTATCACCACCATGTGTTCCGTACTCTCCAGATTCCCTACAATCCCTTTCCGTTCATCATGCGTTTATCCACGTGAGACAGCCTCCATCATCTTGGTGCCAGATAATGTAAACATATATGCAAAAGACACAACCAAAACAATGACAAGTCCAATCGAACAAAAACTCAGCCACGTCATATTCTCACGCCCGCCAAGCTCTCGACCACCCTATCGGTGCGGTGGGATCTATAAATGCTAATATACAAACAAATCACTGCCCCCCCTGGCTAACCCGCCCCCGACAAACTGTCATTAAGCATGCAAGCGCTTTGCGCGCCGCCAGTACGACCCTGTGGCCGCAAATAAAGGAGTGTGTATGTGTGTGTGTGTGTGTGTGTGTGTTTCAGTGCGGCCCCAGTCCCCTTTTCTGGACCCCAACACTGCCTGCTTATGATCATTTCGCACAAATGGCCGTAAAGTGCTCTGCGACGGAAAGCAAACAAAATGAGTAACACGCGAAGGAAGAAAAACATGGCGATCAAATCAGACAGAAAGCAATAGAGCAGGGGAGAAAACGCCGCCAACGCCCGAGCCGACTGGCACGGCACCTCCGAGTAGACACGAGGAATTTTTTTCCCAAAGGATTGGAGAGAGACATCACCGCGTCATCATCACAACTGCTGCACACCGCCAGGTCGGTTGATGATGGCATCGATGCCCATGTCGACGCTCGGCAGCCGCTGGCCGTGCGGATGCATGTACGGGCTGGGGCTTTGCGAGTGCCCCGTGTGGCCGGAGCCGCTGTACGCGGCACCTGACCCGTTCGACGAAACCGAGCTTGTGTACCCGTGGTGGTTCTGCTGCTGCTGGTGGTGGCCGTAGTAGGACCCAGGCATGGGCTGCATAGCAAAGTGCTGGTGGTGGTGCTGGTGGTGGTGCGGGGCGTAACCGTTGCTTCCGCCGCTGGCCGAATGGCCGCCCGACGAGGCCGTCTCGGGGCTACTGTAGGACGGGTCTAGCTCGTCAACAGGTGTCAACCCGATGCCGCTGATTCCGCTATCATCGTCATACCCTGGTGGTAGTGGCTGGCCGGATTCCAGACGTTCGCGGCGCGCGGCGCTGCGGGCAGCGCTCTGCAGGTTCTTGAGGCCGTTGGACATGCACTGCAAATGGTCAGCATCAAAACGACGGAAACTGAGGGGACGGCGCGGGAGCAGGAAGAACACACCTTGGCTTCGACGACATTCCACTTCTCGCCGGTGCGGGCGGCTAGGCCAGACCAGATGTCCTTGCGCATGGTCATGTACTCCTTGGCGAGACGTTCAAGCTTGCGGTTATCCCAGTCGTCGGCACCCTTGCGCTCCATGAGGCGCTCGTGGCGCTTGCGGCAGGCATTGGGCGTCTTGTTTCCAAAGTAGGTGATCTGAATCTGCGCCCAATTGAGGCCCTGCGCGCGTGCTGCCAGCAGAGTCTGGTCGTCTTGTGGGGTCCAGGCGCCTGAGGAGGCGCGGTGCTGCATGGGGGGGATGCCCACATTGGGGGCGGCGGCGTAGGCGTCATAGTTGGGCTGAGACTGGGCCTGCATGACGGCCGAGGAGGACGAGGCCACGGGGAAGTAATCCGGCATGGCAAGGCGTTGCTGGTTGTACATGTTTGGGGTGGGGTTGGCTGCCGGAGCGAGAGAGACTGGCATAGGGTTGTTGTAGCGATGGCTTGAGCTGGATGACCGTGTGTGCTTCGGCATGTTGTGTGGACGAGGCGTGATGAGAGATGAGGGTCAGAATGGTAACGGAGGACGTGTAGATTATCGATTAAGACCGATCATGCGTGGTCTCAAGAAGCCAATGTCGCTTCTGTGTTCTTGTTGGTAAACGAAAACCTCTCCCGGAGGTTATTTGATGATGATGAAGACGTTGTCCGTTGGTTGCTGAGATAGGCCAATGATGCAGGAGAGTAAGAGAGATGCAGGCTGTGACAAGGAAAATGCCCAAAGTCTGATGTAGAGCTACGGAGCGAATGTAGTGATGGACGATAGAAACCTGGATTTGGAAACGAGATGAGACTGGTCGACGGATAAGGAAACGAAGGAAAGGAGACAAGGAAATCGGCGAGAGAGAGAGGGAAAAAAGGAAAAGAAAAAAAAAGGAAGCGACTCAGAGAGGTCAGTCGCAGCAGTCAAGTCTGTCGTCTTGGAGGAGGGGAATGCCAGGCAAGAGATGTCAGTGGCCTCTAGGGCGGACACGATGGTGGATTTAAAGACAAATGTCAGGCATGCGACGGCGCTTGAGGCGAGAAACGAAGACGGCCGAAGAAGCGCGAGTGCTACTTTGAAGCTGGGGTCGGCAGGTGGATCTGAAACGATTAACTTGGCGAACGCAGTATGAAACTCGCCTTGTGTGTCTAGAGAGATTGATGGCAAGACAAGAGGCAAAGGACATTGGCTGGCCGTGGATGGATGGGCGGCTGTCTGAGGTTGGGCGCGTAGAACAGGCCGGTCGAGGGCGGCGGCTACGAGGTCCCACGATGGGCCGCCGACGATGGCAGCCAGAAAATGGGTTCGCCTCCCATTCGGACAGCTCAGCCGGACTGTCGCAGTATGGGGCCAAACCCCGAGAAAGAGGTCGAAAATAGCCGGCCTGTTGGGTATGGGTAGCCGCCAGGAGTGGTGAAAGGGGAGAGAGGACGACGAAGATGGGGCAGAATGGCGGAATGGCAGAACGGCAGGGGTCACGCGTGGGAGCAGGCTGCTCGGCCGGCCAGCGCGGATAGGGGATGGCCGTAGGTCAGGCCCGAGAAATGGATGACAGTTCTCAAATCGACGGATTGCGGCCGGCTGTTCTCATCGGATGAGAGAATGCGTCCATGGTTACGGATCTGGAAGAGCATCTGCTGTGAAGGAAGACAACATCCAAGGTGGGGAGAGAGGAGGGGTTGCAGGAAGCCTAAGGTACCGGAATCAGAACCCGGCAGAATAGGCTGTCAACTCGTCTCAAGGCAGGAGGACCAGGCCAGGATCCCACGGGTAAAGCAGCCAGGAACGACACTGCGAAGGGGCGCGGCGGGAGGCGGGAAGCTGCAAGGTACCGAGTCGTAGCTGCATGAACCAGCTCACGATGAGCCCATTCATTCCCAGATACCTACCTAGGTAGGCAGGCGACTCAAGGCGGGCTCCCAATTTGGTATCAAGCGCAGACTGGCGCCGACTCTCTTCCGTCAATGGGCAGCGGCGGCAGCACAAGGACGTCCGCGTTGGTCCATGTCCACGTCAATGGCAAGGTCCGAGTTCAAAAGTCGCTGCGAGGAAATTACATCAACGATGGGCTAACTTAGTAGACGCGCGCCTGCAGTGGATACCTTGTTGGGGGCTCATTGGTTGGTTGGATTGGCTGACTGTGTGTGGCCACCACTTCTTGCCCCTTTGAAGCGAAGACTGACCGATACTTACCTTGCTTACCGAGAATGCTTGCTTCTGCTACACCGAGGTGAAAGCAACCACCCTGTGCATGTGCCGCAGCCATACATTACATCTCGGCTCCTGATCATCGAGTGCCGTCGTGTTGGGATATTGTCATTGGAAGAATGGACATAAACTTTCAACAATTGCTTTATGTTCACCCGAAATCTACCATAAAATTCACGTTGTATGCACCAAGGCACATACCGTCTCTCCCAGTGGGCCATGAACATGTACCTGCAACTCGCCCAACTTGGATGGTGAGCTAGCCCTTCTACACCACAGCTCTTAGTTTGACTCCGCACCATGCAACGACTGAACTTGTCTTGTCTTAGTCACTACCATTCTCTCGAGCTTGCTGCACAGTCGTGGCCAAGACCCGTGTCACACAGCGAGATGCCTCTCCACAACCATCGGGCAACACGTGTATGACCTGCCGTGATCAGAAGAGACCGCCAGCTGAGATTCAGCCCTGCATCCACTGCTTACCACACCGACCAGTCACTCCTGCCTGTCAATCTTACCCATCTACGCCCTTCTCCGCTCCCGTCTGACGACACTGCATTTAATGACCGTCCCCAAGGTGGCCATTTCCTCGCTCTGACCTCTTTCCACAGCTATAGCACTTCTCCTCCAAAGACGCCCCCCGCTCATCCACCACAACTTGGGCTCGACCACTTGTCACCATGACCATGAACGCCAGCAATCCGGTCGTCAGTGGTCCCGCCGTGTCCTCCACGCAGGAGACTGTCGGCGACATGATTCCAACATCGCACATCTCCATGTCGTGGCCGTCAGTACCCCTACTGCTTGCTATCGTCCTAGGCTACCTTCTTCTCTGTCAATCACTCCGCTTCTACCACATCAACGCCCTCCAGAAGCGCCTTGGCTACACTGATCGCGCCTCCCTGGCAGGCATGAGCAACGATGATGCCCAGATCATTCTCAAGCATATCATGGAGCGCGACTTTCCCATGTTCTACGAGTTGGCACTGCAGTTCGCCATCTTCAAGGTGACACTTGGTGCTCCGTGAATCTCCTTCCTCGTGTCAGAACTGACATTTTGCCAGACATATGCTTTCGAGACCATGTCCAAGCTCATCAACTCCACCAAGGAATTGGCTGATCCCAAAAACTCCTTCAAAAGGTACTGGCTCCCCTAGACAAGATGCAAGCGGATGACGTGCTCGACAAGACCGCGATGGATTGAGACTCCTTCGCCATTCAAAGAGGCGGTAGAATATGGCATTTTGCACTTCATCCCTGCCACTGGCTTTGCACCCTGATCCAGAGTTCTATAACCAACTGACATATATCAGATACGAAGACACAGTCGTCATCTTTGGCGAGTAAGCCAACCTCCCTCCATCCAACTCATCCATCATCCTAACGCGTCAGGTTTTCCATCAATCCCCCGACCTCGGCACGCGCCCTCAAAGCCATTGCCCGCATGAACTATCTCCATGCCCCCTACAAGGCCGCCTCGAAGATTTCTAACGAGGACTTTCTCTACACTCTTTCCACCTGTGTCACAGAGCCCATTCGCTTCATGCGGCTCTACGAATGGAGGGCCCTCACCGACGCCGAGGTCTGCGCAATAGGCACATTTTGGAAAGCCATTGGCGACGCCATGGACATCCGCTACGACGGGTATCTCGATCGCGCCGGCGCCTGGCGCGACGGCATTGACTTTGCCGAGGATATAACCGCCTGGGCCAAAACGTACGAGCTCCAGGCCATGAAACCCTCTCGTTCCAACATCAAGCCGAGCCGTGAGCTTGCTCGTCTCATGATCTGGCACGTACCTGGATTTATGAAGCCGTTCGCCGTTCACGTACTCACTGTTCTCATGGGCGACCGCGTCCGCGACGCCTTCATGTAAGTACCTTCACCTGCAACCAGATGGGCTCCTCCCCTGTCTTTCTTTTTTCCCCCTTTTCTGACATGAGCCGACAAAATAGGTATCCCGAGCCCCCCATCTCAGCAGCCCTCTTCGCCTACCTGGCACTTGCCGTCCGCCGTCTCGCCGTCCGCCACCTCTGCCTCCCCCGCCTGTTCCCGAAACGGTACTTCTCGAAAGAGGACCCGGCCACGGGCCGCGTGAATCACTACACCTACCTCGTCCACCCCTACTACATCCCCGCCACCCTCTGGGCACGCTTCGGCCCCATGAGCTGGCTGACACGCGCCGTCGGTGGCTTCCCGCCCGGCGACGTCGACATGCTGCCGCAGGGCTATCTATTCGAGGAGGTCGGACCCGCCCGCGAGGTTGGGCAGGGCGTCGAGGAAATGGCAGATGGCGTCGAGGCGCTTCGGGCGAGGAAAAGGGGCCGGTGCCCCTTTTCGTGAGTGTGGGCGAGACCTGCGTTGTGGGGCCGGCCGGCCGGGAAGCACGGAGTTGCATCGGTCTCTCCGTTGGCTCGCTACGAATATGGCTGCTCATGTCGCTGAGAAACTGTAAAAGATGGAGGCCAGCGGACGAGACGACACTGGGTCGTGACATGTACACTAGCAATCGCACAAACCACCACATGCATCGTGGGGAACACGGTACGACGTTGCGGGACCTACGCAGCCTCATGTATGACACGCAATGGCAATGCAACATTCATGACATTCATTACTCATTATCACGCTCGGACTAGCAACCGACTCATCCTACGAGCTGGCAATGCCTAGCCCCACCCGCGACTGCGGCCCGTACTGGCTGACGCTGCCCGTGCCGGTGCCGGTCCTCTCACGCATCCGCCTCCCCTCCATCAGCCCCCGGAGACCGCGCTTCTGCAGCCCAATGACCGAGCTGAGCTCGCCGCTCCAGATCTCCCTGACGCCCCCGCCTTCTGACTCGCCAATCTCCGAGCTCCATTCCGAGCCGCTCTGGCTCGTTGTCGCGCTGAGCTCGCCGCTGCCGGGTCGGCTGGACTGTTGCTGTACCGTCGTGTTGAGGCGAAGGGCACGCGCCTCGCTGTTGCCGTCGCTGTCGCGAGAGGCCTCCGACGCGGGTGCCGACTCGAGCGAGGCAATGGGGTCAACGGGCGGCACGAAGAAGTTGGGGTTCAGCGACCCATCGATGCCGCGGCCGCCACCGGCCGCCATGGCCGTGGCATTGAAGACGGCCGCGGCGTTCCGGGAATCTAGAAGCACGTGGAGACGTTCAACCACGGCTTCCAGCAGCCCGTCTATGCGGTAGGGCCGAGCAATCTGCAGCAGCGAGCACAGTATCGGGGGCGTGCACAGCGGCGAGGACGGGGCAGGCAACGACGAGGTGTACAAAAAGTGGAGCAGTGCCTGGACGGTTAGGTAGGTGTGGGGAAGGTAGAGGCACCTTGGGCGTGACCTCGGTGGCAGACTGATGGGCGTGGGGGCTGCGTTGGGATTGTTGGTGTCGAGGCCGGTTTGTGGTAAAAAGGCGCTTCCGGCGATGCTCGACGGCGCTGTGCTTGGCTGCTTGCCAGAGGAGCCGAATGATGAGGCAATGGTGCTACCCATGGATGTGATGCTTTCTACCCGGTCCCTCGACGGCGTAATGGTCACGCCAGAGTTCCTCACAGTGTTAGAAAGGCCACCTCGGAGGGTCATGGCATCGCTGCCGTCCTGTGTCGCGGCACCTTCACGTAGCAACTGAACGAAGTAGGGCCCCCATCGCCTGGCCACAATCCGCGAATTCACAGGTATCCTCTCGCCGTGTAAGCAAAGAATATCCATGTCCGAAAGCTCTCGTAGCGCCAAAGCCTTTTCACCCAGCTCTTCGGACGCTCTGGAATGGAATCGCCCACCCGCGGTGCAGCCAGCCTTTCTGGCCAAGCTGAGGTCAGGACCGGTAAAGGGACTGCTGGACGACACGAATCCGGACAACGGCGCCGTCTTCCTCGGGTTGTCGTAGAAACCGAAAGCTTCGAGCTCTACCATGCAAACGTTGGAAAAGTTGATACGGCGATGATTGTAGTCGTCGACAAGGCTTCGCTTTCGGTTGCCCAATATAACAAAGGTGTTCCGGCGATTCCATAGCACACCGCGGTTCCAACTACCTTGACTGAACACACTGCCCCCTGCGTCAATTCGAGACCACGTCAACGTTCGCAAGTCGAGGGCCCACAGCGCATATTCTTGCTTTGAGGAGGTCAGGTACGTGCCGCTGACCACAAAGTGCGTGTCAATAACGCCGCCATTGGGGAAGCGCAAGCCTGGCGGCGAATACGCGCCAGACATTGGCTTTTCGGAAAGGGAGCCGTCGGATGATCGAATCTGGAGCTCTAGCTTGACGTCCAAGAAGTTGTAGTTGGAGTAGATGAGCATTGATGAGCCAGGCTCCCGAGCTTCTTGGCTGATGCCGCCCTCGCGTTGCGAGCCGTTTACACCCGCTTTGCCTATCTTGGACGTGACCGACGGCGGAAGAGGCGCGACAACGCTCCTGTAGGCGCCGCAGCTCTTGCCAAGAGACTGGGTCGAGGTCCATTTTAAGCTTCGCAGGTTGAAAACGCTGATCTGCTCAATGTAGTGGTTGGCACCGTCTTGTCCGCCGACAATAATCATCTCGGCGCCGCCGGACCCATCGATGTTGATCCCTATCCTGCCCTCATTAGGATTCGCCGAGGGAGGGTTGTGTTGAAGTGCGGACAGCGGGGCCTTGTGAGACGAAAAGGACGCCGACGACGGCAGGATGCAGGCGCAGTGCGCATAGCGACCTTGGGGAGGATCCTGCGTAGGGATGTACGTCCACTTGCGGCTGGGTACATCGTAGATATAAATATCCGACATGACAGTCACCTCGGGCTGCTGATCTTGCGCCGCGCCAGCCTGATTCGTTGTCGGTGACATGCCTCCGTAGCACACCATTTTCGTATCGCCGAGTGGGCACATGGAGTGAAAGTACCGTGGCGGCGGGATGTCGCCTGTGGTCTCGAGCCTCGTCCAGTGTCTTCGAATGAGATCCAGTTCGTACAGGTCGGCCGTCAAGGGCGCAGGCCGGCTCCTAGACAAGATTCTTCCACCAAACACGTAGAGCTTGTCGCCGAGTATGGTAGTCGTCGCGCCAACCAATGGATGAGGTTCCTTTCCCGTTGTCCTGTGAACGTTGCACATCAAGCCCGACAGGTGGGCAGACGAGGAAGAGGCAGAGGTGGCAACGGCGGGACCCCTGGTCTGGGTGACTGAAGGCGAAAGACCGGCGGATGCAGGACCGGCGCTTTTTGGTGTCAGATTGTCTCTCCTTTCCTCTCGTGCGTCCTGCCGCGAGGAACTCGCCAAGCTTGTCTGACTGGCGGACATGTCTGTGTTGTAACCGCCTTGCGCACCAACGTAGGCCTGGGCCTGGTCGACAGACACATTCGAGTCCATTGTGCTTGTCCGGCTGTCCGCCATGACGGGCTGGTCCTCCGGTATGGCGTCAAGGTTGTTCGCGATGCTGGGGGCAGCTGCTGGGGCTGGAAAACTGTCCGCTCCGGACTGCTCTGGGGGCGGTTCTGGGAGAGGCTTGGCAAGACTGCTTTGTAGGCTCAGACTCCTCGCATGCTGCGCAATGGGCGGCGGGGGCGGAGATCGTGCGTCCGTGGTGGGCGAGGGGGAGGACGCGGAGCTAGTAGGCGTGGTGCTTCGCAGGCCGAGCAAGGAGGGTTGCCGGCGCAGGCTGTCGTCTCGACTGGGAGCAAATTTCTTGAAGCCGCGGTAGACACCAGAGAGTAACTCTGAAGGAGACTTGACCGGGGCGGGAGGGCGATCTCGTTCTTGATCGGTGTCCGAGTCGAGGGCTTTCGATTGGTCGGTCTGTGCAGGGGAGAACTGGTTCGGGGTCAGTCCGGGGCTAGACATTTTGTGGTTGTGGTAGCAGCCCCATGGGGACAGCAAGCACTGGACAAAAGAGTGGCCAGGAAGAAGAGTCGGAAGGATCGAGAGCAAGAGACGGCGCGGTGTAACAGTGGCGAGGCCAAGAAAAGAACAAGAGCCCTCTCAGTCACAATTGGGTGGCTGTCAGATGTGTACAGAAGGAGTTGAGGTCGGGAGCGGGGGCGGAAGTGGGCGGGATGAGGAGGAGGAGGTGGATTTGGAAGTCGAGGCCATTCGGCAGTGGCCGAGGAGGTCAAGATCGGCCGCCGGGGAGGAGGTAGGTCATGAGGGGGGGAAGGGGGAGGATAGGGCAGAGAGAAGAGGTGAGACGAGGACAACGATAACGCGGGGAGGACGAGAAGAGGAGACACGAAGCGGGACGAGAGGAGGATAGAGATATGGAAACGACCCAAGGTCGGGTCAAGTTCGCTTCGTGGGGAGAGAGAGTGGAGAGAGTGGTGAGGCAGCTGGAAGCGAGGTGTATCTTTTGGTGCCTACGCCTGTGCCTGTGCCTGTCCTGTACCTGTGCTTGTGCCTGTGCTTGTCCTTGTCACGGCGCTGGGGCCCAGGGGTTGAGCAAGCTACCCCTTCTTCCCACAGCTTGGGCCTTTTCCTCGTGGCCTGAGAAGTGTGTGTGCGTGTGCGCTCTGGGCAAGGGGCATGGAGACGGGGCCTTGGGACTTGGGACTGGGGATTTGACAGGACAGGGCAGGCAGGGCAGGCAAGGACAGCATAGGAGAGGAAGAGGATGGGCCAGGACGCCGGTACGCCAGGACGCAAGGACGCAAGGACACAAGACAGGGCTCGGGGGACGGGGAGAGACAAGCAGGGCCCGGCCGGGAGCCGCAGGTAGATTGACAAAGAAGATGATGGTGGGTTCGCCCAGGTGGAGGAGAAGGTTCAGGATCAGGGACCCAGGCGAGACGAGGAAGCTCCAAGGAACGACAGCTAGAAGGACGGGGAGGCGTCCGATAGACCAAACGACGTACCTGACAAGTCTGACTGGCTACAAGGATGAGGTTGAGGTTGAGAGCGAGAGGGGCTCAAGGGTCGCGCGAGGCGCACGGCGGGTCGCGATGGACACGACGGGATGCGAGATGCGAGCGAGGTAAGGTTCGCTCGGGCGAGGTGACGACGTTATGGTTTTTTGGGGGGGGGGTGCGTCGCGTGTCGAAGAGGGATCATCGGCCTGAACTAGGTAAGCACAGGTGGAAGTAAAATGTTGTACAGGCAGTCAGATGAGGGAGAACCCCCGAAACCCCCAGGTCAGGTCCGGCCAGGTCGCCGTAACGACAAGGTCGAGTGCGGTGAGTGAGGATGATTAAGATGCGGCCAGCCCGGGGGGGGGGGGGGGGGCGAGCGGCGAGCGGCCAGGTGGTAAGGCAAGGCAGATAGATAGGTAGTCAAGAGGGTGGGAGACAGACAGAGAAAGAGCAAGGTAGGTACGGTACCTGGGGGGAGCATCAACAGCAGCACCAGCACCAGCACCAGCGTTGCAGGCCCTAAGAAGTTTCGAGCTAGATTGTCCGAGACGCAAGGCACGAAGCGGTCGATCTGTCGATGTTGAGAATGGGGGGGAGGGGGGTAAGTGTGGAAGGATGATGGGAAGTGCCTGGTGTTCGATTCATTCCCAGCAAAGCACATGGGCCCGCGCACAGACTGTCCGGTCAAATGTGTTTGAAAGAAGCGACGTTGTCCGTTGTCCGGGAAGCTTCACCCCACCTTGCTTTGTAGTCAGGAGCTAGCGAGCACCTCGCCCTTACCTTATGTGTGTCCGTCGGTCTATCCACCTGCCTCGCCTTATGGCGCCTCCTGGCTAAGGTACCTACCGCACACGTAGAGTACCGCACTCCCCTGTCTACTTAGCTCTCTCTCGGTTTGCATCCGCCCTGTCAGGTACAGTACGCCTGCCAGGGCTGCGAGGACAACTTTGTTAGGATGAGCGAGCGCACGGAGGCGCGAATGAGAAAGTCGAACGAGCAAAACGGGGAAAGAAGAGGGTCAAGTATTCATCCAATCCAATAGGGCAGGCATAGTAGGAGCCCGAGACGAGGGGTACCCGCACCTTTGGGGACCACTCACAGCGAGGAACACACCCCCAGAAGCGACGGTGGCTTGGTAGCTCGGGCGGCGCCTGAACACGAGAACCCCTGGCCGCTCCTGATCTATTGCCTCCGTGCCTTTGTTCGATGACTTCTGGCCTGTTTCTGCGTGGCGCGCCCATGCTGTTCATCACCAATGGCGTCGTTTTCGGTGGGGTGCATGGCATTGTCGTTCCCGACTGTCCGGTGTGCGTGACTGGTGTTGTCCTGCACTTCCTGGAGAGAACCGTTCGCCTGTTACCTCGTCTGACGAAGCTTGCCTTGCGCATACAGTGTATCTGCCATGAGCGAAGCATGTAGTACGGAGGTGAAGCAAGGTGTCACTTCCAGATAGGTATTCGAATAAGATATACATGCAAGTCTAGTAAAGTATACCTTGTCCCACCTACCTACCTACCTACCTACAGTACCTAGGTACACACCGTACATAGGTGTCTTTGGGATCAAGGTACCTTGCAACCCATCAGCAATCGAGTCAGCAACAGGGACCACCGGGTCCAGCCTGTAGAAACTTCACTGACGCCAACTGAATAAACATTGAGCAATCCAGCCATCCACTCAAGCCACTGTGTCTTGGGCATTGGGCTGGGTTGGCGCTCTTGCGACCAACGACACGTTCATCCAAACAGACACCTGGCCGATCTGATCGATGCCGGCCCACCGCCTCATATGAGTGGACGTGTGGACTACCTCATCCGAGATTTGTATGCAGGCGAAGCGCCCGTCACTGGGCGGTCGTCACACGCATCCCGTGCTGCGAGGGGCCAGACATGGACGGTAGAACATGGATCGTACAGATGAAAGGGAAAGGGGCCCAGCTAGGTACGGCATCTGGCATATCTCGATCAACCGAATCGGCTTGTTTGCGGTCCGAAAAAAGACGCACCTCACCCTTCGCGCAATGCCACACCGAGCCCAACATCAGACGGACCCTTCATTTCGCCCCCATCCCATATTATTTCGGGGCCGCCCCCCCCCCTTGCTATTTTTCGCTGCCCACATGGTGTTTCGTTTCAAACCCGTCTTCCTCCTTCTAGCGGCCCCTTCTTCCCCTTTTTTTGCCTTGCCTATTCTGTCATCTGTCAACTGTCGCCTTTCACACGGACATGGCTGCGCTTTCGCGCGTAACTCTTCCGTCATCCGTTTGTATTTACCTAAGGTACATATGATATATATGAGCTCTTGGCAGCAGCTGTCGTCGTCGCAATTGCAGATGCCCCGTCCCACGTCGATTCCCGAATATGCACTGTTTTACTCGCTGACTACGCGCTCCTGCTGATCCGCGGCCCAACCTGCTGACCCCAGCCGTCTGGCCCAGTAACCCGTCACGAAAGACAGGGGCACGCGTGGATTGGAGGCAAACAGACAGCCGACGTAGACGCAGGGGGCTGGAGCCAGTCAGCCATGGGTGACAGGGACTAGATACCGCTCCTCGTCTCGCACCCGCGGCATGCACACCGCATGCCGCTGTGCGAGGGAACACCACTCTGTACATGTACACCGCACGCGCCAGGCGCCAGGCGCCAGGCACCTGCGCAGGAGGGGAATCGACCTGTCGACATGGTTCGGGAGAGGGTTTCCCTACAACTTGGATGAACACGGGCGGGAAACAAACCTCACGGCCCTTGGGGCCCCTGGCCCCTGACAAGTTCTTGGCCTGGCCTGCGGGAGCATCGCGAGCGAAACCCTGCCACATTCAAATTCGGTACGGAGCCGTAGCCCGGCCGTGGCCCTGGGCAACGGCATGCGGAGACACCCCCTTCGGACGAGCACCCCCCCCCCCCCTTCTGCTTCTCCTCTTCCACCTCCGCCTCACTCTCTCTCCAACTTGGAGCGGGCGATCCCTCTCTTACTGTTCATCGGTCGTGACTCGCTTTTTTTTCTTACGTGGCGAGGCGGGCAAGTATCGTTGTAATCGGGCCGGTCCTTGCCCCCTGACTTGTCCCGCCCGTCCGTGGGTGTGTGAGGCGCGGCACCTCGGCGGCCGGGGAAGCCAAGCCGAATGTAACGCGGCGGCGCGCAATTGGCTCAGCGGGAGCACCGTACCGAATTTTCATGTGTTTTCTTTTCGGTGCAACCCGCCCGCCGGACCAAGATTTTGGCACGTCACAGCATTGGCGGGGTTCTCATTCAGCGAAGGGTCGCAGGGCGTAACTTGAGTTTGGCCTTTTTGGTAGTTATTGTCACGTCACATCACATCACGGTGCGAACAGCCACTGAGATTCATCGCTTTTTTCATTTCTCTTGCAGGGAGACGGCAAGTTACGTCGCACATCCAAATCTCATCGGGAGGGGATATATATAGTAGGACGTTTAGAAAGTATGCAACACAAACATGGCCGTTGCTCCCTGCCCCCGGCGCACCCGTCGCCCGTCTGGGGCGGCGCTCGCTTCGTCCACGGCCTGGTTCGTTTGTTTTCCGTTTCCATCACGGCGGCCCGACAAAGCGCCCCCAGACGGCAGCCCACTCGTGGCCACTTACGCGACGGTCGCCTTCTCCTTGGGCAAAGGGGTGAAGCGCAGGTAGGGCTTGACGATGCGGAACTCGGGGAACAGCTCCTTGGCCTGCTCGTTCTTGACGGCGGGGTGGACAATGACGTCGTCACCGGGGACCCAGTTGATGGGGGTGGTGATCTTGTGCTTGTCGCCGGTCTGCAGCGAGTCGACGATGCGAAGGACCTCGGCCGAGTTGCGGCCGGTGGAGGCGGGGTAGGAGAGGATGGTGCGGATGGTCTTCTTGGGGTCGATGATGAAGACGGAGCGGATGGTGAAGGCGGTGCCCTTCTCGTCGACGTTGGTGGCGTCCTGGTGGTCGATCATGTCGTAGGCGAGGGCGACCTTGCGCTCCTTGTCGGCGATGATGGGGAACTTGACGGACGAGCCCGTCACCTCGTCAATGTCCTTGATCCAGCCCTCGTGGCTGCCGAGCGTGTTGGCCGAGAGGCCGATCAGCTTGACGCCGCGCTTGGTGAAGTCGGGCTCGAGCTTGGCGAAGCGCCGAGCTCGGTCGTGCACACGGGGGTGTAGTCCTCGGGGTGCGAGAAGAAGACGACCCAGTTGTCGCCGACAAATTCGTGGAAGTCGATCGGGCCGTTGGTCGTGTCGGCCTGGAAGTTGGGCGCGATGCTGCCGAGGCGAAGACTGCCGCAGAAACGTTAGCTGCATGGCTGCAAGCGAGGCCAGCGCCGTTCCTTCTCAGAAAACGAGTGTCTCGTGGAAAGGAGAACGTGAGCACCAACGGTGGGGGCATGGAAGCAGAACATACGGAGCAGGGCGGGAGTCAGCCATTGTGATGGTTGTGTGAGTGTGATGTGGTTTTGGGTGTAGAGGAGGGGGGTATGAGAGGAGAGGCAAAAGACTGGAAGGAAGAGTAGACAGACGTGGGGGGGGGGGACGGTTGCGCAATTAAATAACCCAAGAATCATCCATTGAGAACAGCCACATCAGCCTTCACAGCGTCCCGTTCGCGTGCTTTCTGGCCTGACACGGCATCCGTCCCTAGCGCCGTCGTCCCTGTGCTTGTGCCTGTGTCTGTCAGGCCAGCCAAGGCCGGTCTTTGGCCTCGAGGTGAGGCAGGCCACGGACCCAGGCGAGAGATTAGAGGCCGTCCTCCAGTGAAACGGCCGCCTTGTATTCTCGTCGTCACATCACCCGCGGGAGTCCTTGTGTTGGCGAATGCGCCTGCCCTCCCTCCCTCCACCCTCCTGCTGCCCCTCATTTTGCCCCTCCATGATATCAGTCGAAACCTCCAGGTCGTTCTTGCCCGCACGCGCGCCTGACACTGTCATCTTCGAGCTGCGCTTCTACAGTTCTGGGATGCCTTTCCTTCACATAGTCTTCAGCTTCACCATATGTTACTTTCTCAGCCGTCTCACCATGACTTGCCCGTTCATTCAGCTCCTCCATCGCCTTCATCTTGGATCACGCATCAAGCAGAATGCCCCGCGTCTCAAGCTCGCCTGCCCCTCCATTGGCGTGCCACCCCCATGAGGCATGGCGCCCGATTGCGTGCTGCGGACGTCTTGCCATTGGCCACACCTCCACGTCCCCGCCCCATTATGTCATCCAGAAGCTCCAGCACATCATCGACGCTTGTGCTTGGCTTTTGACGCCTCTTTGGGGGTTCCCGAGAGAGTTTTGGGGGGCCGTTGCATGAGTGCGATATCGCAGCCTGTCGACAATGCTCCTTCGGGGCCCTGGATTGCCGCCCTGAGACGAGACGTCGAGCCTGAGAGGTTCTCAGTGTTACCACAACCCATGGCTCGGGCCTAATCGGGTTAGCTAACTGGGTATTTAGTATCACAGCTAAGAAGATCAACAACTTTATGCGCCACGTGCAGGACCGCACCTTGATTCGGCCATCCACTACCAACTTGGGAACGGTTCTGATCTGGCAGCCCGTGACCCGAATACCAGACTTACCACTGCGGTTCGCGGTGGCATACGACAACCCAGCCTCTGATACTTGGCTACCTGGTTCAACAAGTGCATATTCTCAATACTGCACCGATCGACCGCCAACGTTCTGCAGAACCAGATAGTGCCTTCACTGACCATCTCAGGCGAGCAGGGACATGTCCCCACAGAAAGCAGTATCTTTCTTCATATTTTAGATCTCCAGGAGATCGAGGCCCTACCAGTCAACCCCTAGGCTCGCTCTCATGCAGCCGATGCTGCATCTTCATCTTCCAGCTAAGCCCTACCCGTGTTGAGAGGGCTCATCGCATCGAACTCGTGACTTGTGATGAGTGAAGGATACGTCACGCCGCCCTGACGCAACGTCTCGTCCATGACCTCCATAATGGCAATGCTCTCATGCAGTGGCATAGTAGAACTCTCTTTTTTGCCGTCGTGAATGCACCTCGCGGCCTCGTCCGCCTCCCAGAAGAACCCGTGGCCCCAGCCCTCGCGGCCGTCGTCCTTGGGAAAGGTGCACTCTATCAGTTCTGATTCTTCTCGGGCTCCATTCCTGAGGACGCGGTAGCCGGGCGGACAGTAGGCGGGGTGCGCCATAGCAATCTCACCCTTGGAGCCCTGTATGCGAATGGATGTGGCCTTGCCAGTTTCTGAGGGGTCGCTGGCGCTACGGAGGCTCGTGGTGGCGATGCCGATTGTCTTGTGTTTTGGGAACCGGCAAACGACAACGGTGCTTTCATCAGTGCCGGTAAAGTACTTGTTCATCGTGGAAATAACCTCGGGCCCCTCTTTTTCAGCCTCTGGCTGGAGATGGTAGAGAACTTGGAAGACCCAGGTCAGGGCGTAAGTGCCAAAGTTGAGCAGTGCACCCCCGGCTAGTTCTAGATTGACCTTGCGATGAACGTCTGGGAATGTGAGTTTTCCTTCCTCTTCGGCTGAGTAGTTGAATGAGAGATCGGCAAAAACACGTTCGACGACGCCAATCTCGCCCGAGGCGATAAGCTCCCGCACTTTGACGCTAACAGGTTGGAAGCGCGTCCAGACGGCCTCCATAAGGAAGACATTCTTCTCGCGGGCGGCTTGGACAAGCCGGCGAGTCTGCTCGGCGGTCACGGTCAGGGCCTTTTCGCAGAGTACATGCTTATGTGCCTGGATGGCGAGCATGGCGTTTTGGAAGTGGTGTGAGTGCGGCGTCGCTACGTAGACAATGTCGACGTTTGGGTCAGCGACTAGCTCGGCGTACGAGCCATACGTCTTAGTTTCATGAGGCGGACATTTGATCTTCGCGAGAAAAGCTTCCGCTTTTTTGCTGTCACGCGACGAGGACACGGCTACAATTTTGTGCTCGACGTCGGAGACGCCGCGGCTTGCGGGGCTAGTCTGAAGGTCCTTGGCGAAAGCTACATCTATCAGTCACTGCCACGGTCGAGGCGAATATGTCCTTAAAAAGCAGGAGTTGTGGTCTTGGAGACGAACCTTCGGCAACCAGGCCAGTGGCGATGATGCCCCAACGAAGCGTGAAGGGGGCCATGGTTTTGGTGATGAGATAGCCACGCGCGTGTTGATGCGATGCTAAAACGACGAGATGTCGCGTGTTGCTGTTGGCGTGCAGTCGTGACATCAGAGGAAGACCTGCGCCATTTTTCTTTGTGAGTGCCGCTGATGCAGATAGCTCTATCGCGGCAAGAGAGACGAAGCCGAATCGGAGAGAACAAGGTGCAAAGATCCCGATGGCGCTAGTTGCGGAGATCGACATCCCACTACCTTACCTGGGGCCTTTTACAGCGGCTGGCGCCTTGCGCAGTCGAGCTTCGGGCATCAAAGTCCAAAACTAAGCCGCACACTGACTATGCACTTACCGACCACTTCCTACTCAACAGCCTTGACTCTTTTTGATACTCTGGTTGGGCATTTGTTGCCTTTTATTGCCTTCCTACTTGGCAGTTTATTACCATGGAAGTGGAGCCGACACTCGCTCTCGTACGAGTCGCTTTAAAGCCCACTCGATCGAAAGCCGAACGAGCTAAACCAAGGGAAAGGGGGCTCTCCCGTTCAACCCGCATATGGAACAGAGCCTAGGAAGATTTAGGTTCTCATCTGTGAGGAAGAGTATATCATCAACTTATCTAGAAATCTGATATCACATGGGCTATCCTCTGCGGCCGCCAGGAGTCCCCTGCGAGCCACAGACCAGCGGGCTAACCAGGGGCTAGGGACTACGAGAACGTGTGTATGAGGACTTTAAAGGGCCCTCCAAGCTGCGGAGGGCCAGAATGCAGATGAATTCCGACCCTATATCTATATTCTATTGCTGCGGACCACGTGTGAAAGACCTCTTCACTCTGCTCCAAATCAAGCACCGACAACAAGTTGCTAAGCATCATGTGATGAAATATCAAGAAGCCCTCTACTACATTCTGGCAAATCGCACTGATAAAATGACGGCAAAAACTGTATTATAAGCAATGATATCTTACAAGTAAATCTTTACGAACCACTATGTATAGAGAGATAGAGGCTGTTTCAGAAGGCTCCTACGGAACCATATCAACACGTTGCCCTAGAAGGCTAGTTTGGGGGTTCGAGATTGCGGGAGCGTGTATGTAAGGCTTGCAAAAGGCCAAAATGCAGATAATCTCAATCCCCATACCTTACGCTTGACTGCGGATATCGCCCACAGCACTCTGCTATCCAACCGCCCCAACACAAACTCATCCAGGCTGTCCCACGTTCTTAGGGGATGAAAGCATCGCAGGACTTAAATACACCATCAACACAGCCAGGATAGCTTCACATGTATTGTCTAAGCATCCGTTATGAGTTCAAGGCTCTTGTCTTGAGTTCCACCTACCACAAACCAAGGAGAAGACATTTCAGCCGTACGCCTCTACCAGAACAGGTCAATAATGGTATTGGCTTGGCCGATAGCGTGCCACATGCGAAGGGACCGGGGTGATCTTGGGTCAGCAATCTGCACGACGCGGGCGTTCTATTTCGGTTGCATACCCCTGCAGCACAGCCTGAAATTGCTCTCCAGCCATTCGATGTTTTCCACCGCTCAACCACAGCAACCCCATCACATGTATCTTGCCCGTAAACTTTGTTGTAATTATTGATCTTGGCTGAGGATAGATGCTTGCAAGCAGTTGGTAACTCGATTCCGCCCAACGAGATCCCCAGGGTTTATCAGGGCCCTTGACAATGGAGTCCACGGGCGAGCCAGCCACCGCCGGCATGGCGGATCCACCGTCAACCGAGCAGTTACTCCAAGCTGCTGCCTCAGCCGACGACGAGGACCTGAGGCGCCTGACGCAATACTACACGACAGATATCGACATTCGAAACCAGGACGGACTCAGCGCACTGCACTTGGCCATCTTATCACATCATGATGGGGCCGTAGAAGCTCTCGTCGAGGCAAATGCCGACATCGAAGCGACAACGCCTGATGGTAGAAGGCCCCTATTCCTAGCCATCGAGGGGTCACGAACCGAGGTGGTGCGGTTCCTCTTAGCCCATCATGCTCTCGCCGATGCAGATGCCGGCGGCAGAATGCCCCTGCATGAAGCGGCGTCTCGAGGCAACGTCCACATCGCGCGACTCCTCCTCGACTATGGAGCAGATATCCAAGCTCTAAGCACAGACGAGAGGGATGCTTTGTTCTTCGCTGTGAGGAGCCAAGATTTGGCCGTGGCCCAGCTGCTACTCGACCGCGGCGCGGATCCCGACGCTTACCTTTCAGAGGACCCCCCGACTGCGCTTCACCTGGCCTCGGAGCTGTGCGACGTTGAAATGATGCGGATGCTACTCGAGCGAAGAGCAAAAGTGGACTTGAGAGACTTCAACGGCGCGACGCCTCTTTTCAGAGTTGTCGCTGCGGGGAACATCGAAGCTGCCAAGCTCCTGCTTCAGCATGGGGCCAGTATTCGCGTGTGGGCGTCTGGCGGCTTCTCGGCTCTTGACCTTGCGGATGGGAATCTCGAGATGCTTGAGCTTCTCAACGGAGACAGGGTGCTGCAAGGGCCAAAAGTACGAGGGGCTGGGCCGGCAGACGAGCCGGAGGCCACCTTCACGGTTCTCAAGCCTCCTCCAACGCCGGCCGAGCACGAGCGCGATAAGTTGACCGCTTGCCAGGGCTTCAACGCCATCATTACAGATTTTTTCCTGAATGGAGAAGAACACGAGCAGTCGGTGCCCAAGACGGCATCGGTGTATGAGCTCCTGTATAGCCATGGTCCAGGCGCCATTCGAAGCCGTCTTGATGGCCGAGATCCGAGCTATACATGGTACCACTTACCATCCAATAATGTAGGTGGTCAAAAGCTCGATACTAGGTTACCGATACTAATTTCATTCAATTTCGCAGATGGTATGGGTTGAGGTAAGCGTCTGAAGGCAGATATGCGTGGGCAATTCTCATTGACTTCCAAACAGGGACTAATCAGGCGGCTGACAGCCGAGAAAGGTGGTATATCTGCTGAGATGTACGATGATTCTAAGGTTGAGATGGAACTCTCAAGGCAGCAAAAAGGCAGCAGACCCAGAGCGCGAGCATCCAAGACGTCAGTCTTGAGATCTCAATGCCGTCGAGTACCAGTACGTGACCCCTCGACCAACAGACCCTGCATTTGTTACCAAGTCTTTAACCAAGCTCACCAAACAGGGCTTTACCGGAAACACTGACAGCATTGTCGCTTTCGTGAGCTATTCTGGTGTGTCAGACTGGCGATAGTGATCTGACCCCCTTTTCAGGTCCCATTTCTACATTTTGAAACCTTTGCTGGACATCAAGCTGTGGAGGCTGCACTGGCAAGAGCTCGTGATCGTCCAAATAGCTCAAGGAACCTTCAACTTCCGGCTCGGCTGGGCGTCCCGATACCTCCAGCAATCAGCGTGCGAACTCGCAAGTCATCAGATGAGGCACCAGCCAGCCGAACCAGACCGGCAACCCCAAGCAGTAATAATGCAGCTGTTGAAAATCCTCTCATCTCAGCCTTGGGCAAGATTGGTACTGTCCTGCGCCACAATTCACGGTCGAGCGCCAAATCAGCAATCGCACAAGACATAGAGAGACAATCACCAGAGCAGGCTGGAGAGCAAGCTGCTTCACTCTCCAGAAATAATAGCATACAGCGAGAGCCAAGTGTAACGATTCCCCAGGAAGGAACCATACCTCAGACAATGGATCACCGCAGCACGCTTTCTGGTGCCGAACGCCGATCTCCGCCACCACCCAGTCAATTCTCCCGAAGCGAAGGCCAACAATCACACACTTCACATAATTTAATGACAGCTAACACTAACAAATCACCCGCTCCCAAACCTGGTTCAGACAATCATTCTGAAGCACAAAGGTCAGGGTCGCCCAGAAAGGGCCAAGAATCAGAACCCGAGCCCAAAGTCGAACGTAAAACTAGAATGAAGCCAAAACAACAAGGCCCTCGCATAGATCCTCCACAGAAGAACCTCCACGAACATCTCTTCAGGGGCTACTTCAACTCTGGCACATCTGATCTGCAACCACGTCGCACATTGGACCAATATGTATATGCCGACATCGAAGCATCTTCAAACAGGGACAACGATCAGGTCGTCTATCGATATACAAAAGATTCCCGGGCCAAGATTTTTATGGTGGACCAGCTATGGTTATGGATCCTAGGCGAAGGTATGAAATACGTCACGACATGAGGTCGGGAGGCACTGACAGCTTTCAAGACACGATAATCACATGCTGCCCCGTCCGATGGAACTCTTGGGAGACCAAGCGGCAGAGACAGGCAGAGATGCCTACTGCTGAGACCTCGAAGCCCGGATTCTACATCAAGTGGTTCAGCGGAATGGTTCACAACCCTCACGCCTCGTTGGTGCGCCAGCGAGGCATGGGCTATCGCCCCATGATGATCGGCGGTCACAGCTCAAAAGAGCCCAGGGCATCTCAACCGAGTCGTAATTGGGCGGACGGTACCTGGCCTGAGCTTAAGCTTGACGATCCCTTGAATGTGTCCCAAATTGTCAACCGGCACCTTCTGAAGCAGAACAGGAGCGCTGTGGAGTCGGTCTTTGAGCTAGCTGGGCTCATAACAACGTGTTGTGTTGACTTGTTTGATCCGCATCAAGTGAGCGAGGACTATCTGTTTTTAGACTTTTTCGAAAACTCCATCGGTCAAGCGGTAAGTGGAATGAATCATCGCAATGAATGTATATTCTGATTTGTTGTGTCTTCAGAGCGATAAAGTCGCGAACTACCTGAGAAACTTCAAGGGGTCGGTCAGCGAGTTCAAGGAGGGCGTTGTGACGGAGGATATCATGGACATCACTAGCGAGACGGAACTGATGATCGAACTCGATGATATTCTCGATGAATTACACACATTGAAGCTTGTGTTGACGGATCAGAAGAGCGTCGTTCAGGACATGAACAGAACACTTAGAGAATCCGACCGGAATGCCTCGGCGTCCGCACATGTCAACACGAAAACCCTCGAAAGTCACCTGCAGAGGATCGAGCAGATGGAACAGGCGGCATCAAAGGCAGAGAAGACGGTCCGTATCACGCAATTTCCGATGCCCTGGACACATGAATATGCTGACCCAGATCAAGCTGCATCGCCTCGTTGACCTGAAACAGAAACAGGCTAGTCTGACAGAGGCGTGGTATGCGCGAGAGTCAGCTAGAGACACAGCTCGCCAGGGAAAGACGGTGGTTGTTTTTACTGTGGTCACGATCATTTTTGTGAGTTCTTTCGCGCATCCACACTGATGTGACGAGAGCTGACACAGTACCAGTTGCCCGTGTCGTTCATCGCAGCAATCTTTGCCATCGACAGCAATGGGTTCCGGCGCGATGAAGACGATAAGATACCTTTTGGCTACATGCTCACATATATACGTAAGGTCACCCCTCGCAAGCTGTGAAAATCTGACTGACACGAAGACATTATAGTGTCCATCGGCCTGACGATTTCTATACCCCTCATCGTCATCGCCTTTAACGTAGACAGGATAGCTAGATGGTTCGGAAGTCTTCGTGGGATGTTTGGGCGCTTTTGGCACATCAGTATCGTCATTGCACTCGCAGCAGCAGTGCTCACGGCCGTAATCGGCCCGGTGTGGACGTCAAAGTTGGCTGGAGGCATCAAGGCCTCAGTCTCAATCGTGCTCATCATGCTTCTGGTCGTGGCAGCCATAGGCCTCACCATGCACAAGCTCATGACATCGTTGAGCCGCAAAGTGTCTGTCACGACTTCGTCTGGTAGTAGTTGGGCTAGCTAAGGTAGGACATAGGGCTCATCCGACCATATTGGAGAGCACGGAAATGGAGAGGATCATGACGAGAAGCCCAATACAAGCAACGATGAGAAAGAACGTAGCCAGCCACCCAAGCGCCATTGCACCAGCTCCAACGTGTCCCGTCGCCACGCCGTACGTGAAGAATTTGACCATGGTTGTCGCAGAGGAGCTCGACAGATGCTGCCAGAAGCCCGTCAAGAGAGTCAGGACACAGGAAACAACCAGACAACCCAACGCAGCTCTCGAGACTACCCGGGAAGGAAATGGCTTCACTTCTCTCTCCGATCCGTTGCTTGTGTTGTCCTCATGCCATCCCGGGAAGGTGGCCAGTAGGAGAATCGCAGCAATGGCGGCGACAATCGAGATAAACCTTAGAGAGCTAGTTTAGATCATTGTAGCATACGAACGTGCTGCCCTCATGCAGCATAATTAGAAGGAATCTTACAAGAGAGCGACGAAGACAGTCTCGTCACGGAACTTTTGCGCTGCATGGATGAGGTTCAACGGGTCACCTGATTCATCCCCAATGGTTGTGCGACGCACAAATGCCTCAAGAGAGCCCGAGTTCTTCGAGCATATCGACTGGCCGCTGACCAGGAGGCACATACCCATATAACCTGCCCTGATTTCCATTGAGGTGCGGTTGACGGCAACCTCTGCAATGGATGCGGCAACGTTGCTGGCGGATGGCTCTGGGTTGCTGACGTAGGATAGAGACAAGAGATAGATCCCGGCGAGACTATCGCTGGTGCAGCCAGCGATGAGGATCGATATCAGGGTAACAGATATGACGAGGAATATCATGAGGACATGGTGGTACCCGATGTACGGGAGAAAGCTGTCGCTGCGTGTCAGCCTCTGGGCTCCAATGATGAACAGGGCACACAAACCGGCGTAGGTCAAGAGGGAATCGAAGACCCCTGGCCGAAGCTGGACTAGACGTCAAAGACATTGTTCATGTGCCTATTGGCGTATGTGGCCGCTTCCCGTGGACAGAACTGCTCGGCTCCTATGACTCTGCTCTGGAGCCTGTTCGGCGTGTTGCCGTCAGGTACGTTTCAATTGACAAGACAGGATTGCTTTCTGCAATCTCATGGCACTGTCAGCCTCACTCGACCTGAGTGGCTGCGAGATTTATGCACGCCTTGCACAACTTGTAGGCACCCTGGTCAATACCCAATTAGCAGACTCGATCACCTTCGCCCAGCAAGGAATGGCCAAAGACAGCAACAAACATCATAGTTCGTTCTGTGTACACTGACAACACTGAAACACAACCCCAAGGTCGTCATGACTCACTGAACGCACGATAATTGTAACGCAGAGAGCTCAGACTTGATGGGCGTGAGCCTTTCCCAGCTGTCTGAAGATTCGCTGGAGTAACACATTGTCATTTTGTCTTCCACCGGAGCATTTTGACCGCTGGCCAGCGCATACATGAAGAGTGCCAAGCGGGTGTTCGTGTTGGAAACCATTGCCTGGGATCGGCACCCACATCCGAGCGGCACGGGAGACATACGGAGTTCATGTCACGCCGGCCGTGAGGAAAAAGCAGACGGACAGTAGCTGTATTAGGCCGTCGTGCCGATCAAAAAGAACAGTCTGTGCTACGAGTCGTGTCACAAATCAGGAGGCCCGAAGGAATCCCGCACTTTAATGGAGCGGCCGACCCGTTATATCCGATGTCACAATGAAGGGTGCAAGCAGAGGTCGACAGGCGTGATGTGAGGACGTTATAAGCCTGGGTGGCAATGGCGCAGTGTTTCACTCTTGCGAAATCGTCATTCATCTACGGTCCTGTCTAGCACTCTTCAGCATGTCTTCCTCGCGCAAGCCTGTCGTGACCATCGGGAGTGATGGGCCTACTATTCCGGCCATGGGGTTCGGAGCCATGGGCCTAAGTTATGGTTATGGCGCTGGAGGGTGAGTTTTACGTCTTGTATGTCATGAAGGAAAGCAGACAGTACTGATATTGTGACAGTTCCGATGAGGAAAGGTTCAAAGTGCTCGACCGGGCGTGGGAGATCGGCTGTGTCAACTGGGATACGGCGATCAGCTACGGCGATCAGCTAAGGCGACAACGAGGACCTGATCGGTAAATGGTTTAAATTACATCCTGAACGCCGCAAGGACATATTCCTCGCCACTAAGTTCGCTATCGAGGATTCTGGAAAGGGAATAGAAGGCATGACCGTGGATTCGTCTCCAGAGAATTGCAAGAAATCCCTCGAGACTAGCCTGCGCCGGCTCGGAGTGGAGAGCATCGACCCTTTACTATATGCACCGCGCGAACCCCAGCGTTGCGATCGAAAAGACGGTCCAGGCCATGAAGGAGCTTCACCAGTGAGTTTGACACCCTTAGAAGGAGGGGTTGAGACAATACTAATGCATGCACAGAGCAGGAAAGATCAAGGATCTCGGGCTTTCGGAGGTCTCCTCTGCGACCCTTCGCAGAGCTCACGCCGTTCACCCGATAGCAGCAGTGCAAATTGAGTACAATCCTTGGACGCTTGACATTGAGGGTCCTTCAGGGACGAACCTGCTCGATACCTTTAAGGAACTCGGTGTGGCTGTTGTTGCGTACTCGCCGTTGGGACGAGGCATCTTGACCGGAAAGTACCGATCCAAAAACGACTTCGAGCCCGGCGATGTTCGCCACTACCTGGAGAGATACCAAGACGAGAACTTCCGGAAGAACCTGGTCCTCGTGGACAAATTCGAACAGGTTGCCAAACGAAAGGGTTGTACATTAGGCCAGCTCGTCCTCGCATGGCTCGTGGCCCAATGGGACAAGGTGATTGTGATTCCTGGAACGAAGAAGATCAAGTATCTGGAAGAGAACTTTGATTCTGGAAAGGTAGAGATCACATCAGAGGAGGAGCGTGAGCTTCGGGAGCTGGTCTCAAGTAGCGGTATCAGCGGCAGCCGGAACCCTTTCTTTGGCCAGTTCGTGGACACAGTTTCGTTATAGGCCCCATTTTCATATATTAAGTCCGATGTCTGGGATTCTGTGGATAATCCTTGCGGGGTATGCACACCAGTGACAAAATGCGAAGGTTACGAAAGGGCTGTCCGATGTAAAGCTTGTTAACTCTGGGCAAATCAGTTTGGCTTATCAAGAAAGACCTCGACTCCCTCGTCCGAAGTCAGTCGTGTTGCGAATAATCTGACGTCTCGTTATAAACCTGCCTTGCCTGCAGCTAGTAAGTTCATTAAGCTAACGAGGCTCGTCTTCTGGTCTAGTCACGCAAGCGAACCCTGAAATAAACTCCTGGTCTCGCTCAGTGTTACGAATTCCTGAATCATGGGAGCCCAGCGTTTCCCATCATCAACAAGCTGTCAGGGTGGTGAACGTCTTGTACAGCCACACAGCCAGTGATATGAGGTCTTCATATTCACCTATCCTTCCAAAACCTTTGAAAGCGGATCAATTATAAGAAAAGGCAATTCCCAGTATCTAGTCCACAGGCTAGCAGGCTTCCTAGCTCCGGGACGTTATTAGTAGCCGGACTAACGTGTTTGGCGCGGCGGGATGCACGATAGACTGAGTACAGGTGTTTGCCGGCCTACTTCCGCGTCAAACATGTCAAAGTACGCCTCCCTGATGCGTTTGCGGACTTTCCTTGCGTAACCATCGGGAGACTTCCCCTGCCATGCATGAACTGACCCTACGACATCGGCCCATCTGGCGGGGCCCAGGTTGTAGTGCCGCGGGCCATTACGAAATGGATGCAGGCTGTGTTCGGAGTCGGCAACAGGCCAGAGTTTCAAGTCAGTGGTAGGAAAACCCGTCATGAACATATCTAGGTCTATTTCCCACGGCAGGTTGCTCACCGCTTCCTCAGCCTACATCACCACTAGGCCCCGCCGAGACAGCGACGCTCTGGGATTTGCGAGAAGCAAAATATACCTGTGCAACAAACAAACAATGGCCGAAGTACTTTGTTAATGGAAACAGATGTAGTTAACATGAGCGGCAACCCATGATGCCAAGTACTAGCTAATCAAGCAAAAGGTATCATCCCTCCCTAACCAAGAATCGGCTCAAAGTTTCACTCTCCCACCATCCAACTGCTGCCAATCGTTTGCTGTAAAGGGCACGTAGGTATCCCCTTGCAGCCAGTACATTAGGCTCTCGTCGCCAGCCCCTGGCTTGACACCCTCGCCCCTCAATCCCGTCTTCTGCTGCTTGTTCGTCCCCGTCATCTGCATTCCCATGTCGGGCATGACTCTCAGGAAGAGCGGCAACGCGTACTTCGGCAGCGCCTTCTTGACATGTTCCGCCAAGCTCTTGAGGAGGGCGTCTTCTGGCTTCGCCTCGATTCCACGGCCCTCATCGAGCACCAGTGCCGCACACCCCGCCCGCCCATCATGGTGTGGTAGCTCAACGCCGTAGACATTGGCCTCACGCACAGCCGGGTGTGAGCCGATGGCTTCGCTGACCTCCTGCGTCGAGACATTCTCACTCTTCCAGCGGAAGGTGTCTCCTATGCGGTCACTGAAGAAGAGGCGACCCTCGCCATCCCATTTGAGAATATCACCGGTGCGGAACCAGGCGTCGTCCTTTCGGAACACGCTGCGTAACACCTTTTTCTGCGTTGCCTCTGGATTACCGTAATAGCCTTGGAAGCGACGTGACATGTCCGTCGGAGAAACACGGCACAGCAGCTCGCCCGGTTCATTCGTGCCAGCGGAACGACAGAAGCCTGTCTTCGGGTCTCGCCATGGCGCGCCTTGTTCGTGATCTACTTCGACAATGGCAAGATTCATGCCCATGACGGCATTGTAAATCCAGCCGTTTCGACCGATGGCACCTTTGGCAAAATCGTTTCGGCTGAGATTCCATGTGCCAAAGGTGCCCTCTGTGGCGGCATAGAATTCGCCAATCGTGTCGACACCGAAGCGATCGCGGAAGCGACTCCATACGTCGGGCCGCAGGCCGTTTCCAAATGCTGCTCGAACCTTGTGTTTCTTGTCGAGGTTCTCGCCTGTCGTGGGGTCGAGTTGTGGTGGAGCGGCGAGGAGATAGCGGCATGTCTCGCCGACATACTGAATGATGGTGGCGCCCGATGTGCGTACATCTGACCAGAAAGTCTTGGTCGAGAACTTACGCCCAATGGCAATCGTGCCGCCGACCTCTAGAGTGTTGCCAAAGCCCAGGATGGCAGCCGAGCTGTGGTACAGCGGCATGGACTGTGCACATGTTAGCTTTCCGCGGGGGTTGGGAAGGACTGTCGTGTTTACCGTGTAGAAGACATCATTAGTGCTGTTGCTGATGAACCGAGATGTGAAAACGCCGCCCACGATACACTTGGCCCAAGAAACAATGGCAGGCTTGGGCATTCCGGTGGTGCCGGAAGTAAAAATGAGAATGGCGATGTTTTGGTACTTGTCCTCGGATCGATCGGCGTCAGGGTATCTCCTAGGTTCGGTCGCAGCAATCTCTGCGAGTGTGGTTGGGTCGAACTCCACGAAGGTGACAGCTTCGAGTTCGCTGCGTACTTCTTGATTCACATTACTGGCAACCAAAGGGTCGACCAGCACCAAAGACGTCGTGGCAGTCTTGATGCAATGAGCCAGTGCACTCCCGGTGAGGTTGTAATTCATGAAGGCAGGCTTCGCTCCGATTGACCAGAGACCGAACCAAATGAAGATGAAGACATCGGAGTTTTGGAAGTCTACAGCGACGATGTCTTTAGGCTTGACACCGTGGCGCTCCCGCAGCCAGGTGCCGTAGCGAAGAACATTTTCATATACTTGAGCATATGTCCATGACTTGCCCTCGAAAATGATAAAGGTACGGTTCGCGGAGGACTTGTTCTGGGCATGGCGTTCGAGGACGTAGAAGGGACTCAGACGATCGGTCCGCTCACGCCACAAGGCGGACAAGGTCGCTGGAAGGGCGGATTGTACGAGGTGAACATCGTACCACAGAGACATGCGCGCATTCAGGTACGCAGCGCCTGCAGCGGCGGCTGGCAGGGCGACAGCGAGAGGGACTGTCATCAATCAGTACACTGGGGACCGAATTGGAGGACCGTCAAGCAGGCTCGAATCATGCAGGCTTCAGCCATTGGGTAGGGCGCGAGATTAGGTGCTGACGTTTCGGGGGGGGTTGGACGTACCAGGCATATTGTACTGTGCGTTGATCCCAGAGTCTGAGAGACGTCGTCAAGGACTCTTGATGGGGGCCACAAGTGAGTAAGAGGCGTGGATCCCGTCGACAAGGTCTGGCGGCGACACGGACTACCAGAAGCGCGGGACGTTGGCGGCCAGGCACAGGACGTGACTCGAGACAAGGCAAGGCAGAGGAGGCCTAGGCTTTGTCAGAAAAGACTATTCCGCTGAACAAAGTGACGTGACCCGGATGGGAGAACAGCAATTGGACGAGGTCGTGAGGTTATAGGCTACAGGAAGTCGATTGAAGGAAGAAAGCCGGCGGGTCCGAATATCAGGAGTGAGCCTGAAGTCTAGTGTCAGGGGACAGGGTCCATTCCGTCTCCTGGGGCCATGAATGCATTTGACGTTGAGTCGACGGTGACGACAGCCGAGGAGCAGCTTCGCAGAGTGGATATCGGTGGACATGTGCCCACAATCGAACGCCATGGCGAAGCACGACTAGCACAGCTGGTGGTACTTGGTGCACGCTACTGGCACCAAACGTTCGCCAACAATCCTATATTGGGCGCCGCTTGCATGGCGACGGGACATGAGTTGCAGGACACTAGCAGCGGTACCCCAGCTTTCTCCAGCCGTCGCAGCCCATCCAGGAGACCTTGCAGGTCTTGGAACACCGTTTTGGGATGGAAGCCTCGGCACCGCCAGCGGGGTTCGACGACTCTCAGCGAATTTTTAAGAGAGCCATGTTGGTGATTTGCTGCGACGTGTTGCTCTATCGAGTAAGTGACTCGCAACGGGGGGGGGGGGTCTATGTCACGTTGCGCGGAGAGTTCTCTGAAGAAGCCTAAAGCGGGCGATCAAAGGTGGCCAGAAAGACAGGAGTCAACAGCGCACCCATCTGAATCGTTGTATGCTTCGTCTTTGCCCTTGTTGATTCGGTTTCGGGCCCGGTCCGAGTGTTCCTGGTCCCGCAGAAGATCCTACGGCGCGCTATGATCAGCCGAGTGTCCGATGGGACATGGAGCAGAAGATTCCGCGTTTGAAGCGCTCGACGACCGGGCTACGCTCCAGCCCGAGATGGGGGGAAGAAGACGGTGACGGGCACAGCATTCGAGGCGGTCTGCAGTTGTTGGTAACCTGGAGGCCAGGATTGCTTGGCTTTGGGGTCACGAGAGGGGTAGCACCGAGGTATCTCAAGGGAACGAAACGCTGCAGCGCAGGACATGTGATGATGCCGGTGTCCCAAGACGACCTGAAGGTGCATAGGAGGTAAGCCAGTCGAAGCCGCAGCTTTGTGTTGTCCAGAGTCATCCGATTTGGCGTGTAGATTGTCTGTCGCTCTGAGGCCATCTTCCTTCGTACCACAGTGATCGGGGCCCGTTTACCTGGTGCTGGAGCCATATAAATTCTTGGACCACCTGGCGTACCGTGCTCGATCGTGACGGGAGGAGGTGCTGTCCATGAAACGCCATATTCACAGAAGACCGTGGGCAGAGGTCCTGTTGACGTTCATTCTGGGTTGCAGTGCATTTTGTCTTCGAGAAAGATTTTAGGGTTTCTTGCGTCCCTTATACCATGGTACAGGTACATACAGTACCTCCTGCCTCCACCTAGGTACTTGCCCGTTCAGGTAGGTACGTGGGCCTTGGTCAAGTCAGTGGAGGAAGGCGAAAGCGGGGCCGCTACTGCCTCCCCGTCCCTGTGAAGCGCTTATCGTCTCCGTCACTGCACTATCGCCATGTGATCTCGCGTCGCATTGGCTCCAGTCGTCAAACGGCCAGAAGTCGCATCGAGTGTACCGCCTATGTACGCTCCCTCCACCAGCCCGCCCACGGCCTCGTCGAGTCACCATGGCCGCGACACTACCCAGCCAAGACGACCTCATCCAGAACCCTTCGCTTTCTCTCCACGAGACTTCTGCGGAGGGGGCACCGCCTGCCGCCGGACCCACGGGCGAAGACGCCTCTTCAGAGAACCCCAAAGAACCGCCCCCTGAGAAGGCTTCGGACGTGCGACGCCGCTCTTTCGTCATTCTCTCTTTCTGGGCCATCGCGCTATGTTTTGGTGTGCCAATATGGTGGATAACGACGTCTATTTACCGGGCTAACTTGCCCTTGTCTGACATGCTGGACTGGGCTGACGGTAAGGTGAGTCGTCTGTCCGCGGCATGCCGTGGCTCTTCTGGATCCATGTGTTTCCCTGTCGACTGACAACCTCCAACGCAGGCCTGTCGCCCTGTCTTCCCGCTGAGCATCGCCATTGAGGCGTCGTCTCTGCAAGACCAAGAGGCCCAGAACCTCCTTCGACAGACGCAACATGCGCTCGACGACCTAAACGACTTCTCCGGCCACCACCTACGACTGCAGCTAGCCCCACGCTCCAATGATGCAGCCGACAAACAAGGCAAGCAAGAGCTCGCCCTGACGATCCGCCTGACGCCCGGCGAGTCCACTGCGGCGGCACTCGACCCAAACTCGGCCGTTCTCGACGTCACGTACCCGCCGAGCGCCGTCCCATCGGCGTCGTCTTCGACATCCTCGCTCGCCTCCTACATTGCCAATGAGCTACGTTCGACGTACGCTGAGGAGCAGTCCATCATCTCCTACCTGCTCTCGACCTCTCCCGGCGCCTCGGAGCCGAGGTCCAAGGCCCTCTCACCCGAAGTGGCCGAGTCCTTGTCGAAGCGGACCACTCGATCGATGCGCTATGCGCCTACATTCCACCTGACATTTTCCTTGTTCACAAATGGCGCCGTGCCGAACGCGTGGGACATTGAGAAGGCCATTCAGGACTACATGCAGCCGATGCTCGACGTGCTGAGCCCGATCCACAACTTCACCATGGACACGCAGGTGCAACTGTATGCGACGCCGGGTGCGCAAGCCGACGTGCTGGGCAAGGACGATCTCGCCAGCTTCATCAACGCCGCCGAGTGGCCGCTCTCGCCTTCCATCGGCGGAGCACCGACGATTAACTTTGTGCTCTTCGTCGGAAACCAGACGGTCGGGACCGAGCCGGGCTCGGAGAACTCGCAGTCGTGGCTGATCCCGCAATGGGGCACGGTCTATCTGCAGGCACTGCCGCCGGCCGTGGCGCGCGTCTCGAGCGCGGACCTCAAGCAGCCGATGCTGACGTTTGCGGGCCACCTGCTCTCCCTGCTGGGCACGCCGCAGACGGGCTCGCTGCCGCTCCGGCTGTCGACGCTGACGCGCATCCGGTCGGCGGACCTTCTGCTGCGGGCGTCGTCCACGCTGGGCTCGCTGGCGCGCGTCTCGCAGGCCCTGCCGTCCATCTCGATCCCCGGCAGCGTCGCGGACGGCGTGGCCAAGACGATGCGCCACCTCGAGCTGGCGTGTGCGAGCCTCGGCGGCCTCGAAGGGCTGGAGCATGCGCGCATCGCCGAGGCCGAGGCGGAGCGGGCGTTTTTCGAGAAGAGCATGGTCGGGCAGCTGTACTTCCCCGACGAACACAAGGTTGCGGTGTACCTGCCTCTGCTGGGGCCAGTAGGCGTTCCGTTGATCATGGGCCTGCTGAACGAGCTGAAGGCGTGGAAGAAGAGGAGACGAGAGAGGGCCGAGGCCGAGGCCAAGAAGAAGGCCCAGTAAACGAGCAAGACGAAGAGGAAAAAAAAAAAGAAAAGAGAAGCGAGAATAGAAACGAGTATCCCGAAGAATACGACATGATCCAGCTCATCCCATTGTCGTCGTCGCCTTGATTCGTATGGCAGCATGTCAGTGCCGAGCAGCAACCAGAGGACCCAGCACAGGTGCTTGGTGGTAGGCCATGGTAGGGGCTCGACAGTGGGGTCTTCAGCCAGGAACAGGGAGCAGACTGACGTACCCAGGCCTGCCAGGTACTTGACCTCAGCACCGGACCCAGCACCTAACCTCAGCACCTGGGCACCAATTACCTCGACAGCGGCGGGACAATGTGACGTCTGTGGATGTTCTTAGGCGCGGCATCGAGGCCAGCGCCAGCCCATAGCTGCCGTCGATCCCGTGGATCACTTCTCTCCTGCCTCGGGTCGGGCGGGCTGTCTTCGTTTGCGTCTACAGACGGCACCGTCGGGCTCCAGTGCAAGGGGCGGCCAACCCAGATCTTGCCAGACTTGCCAGACTTGCCAGACTTGCCAGACTTGCCAGACTTGCCAGAGCACCCGGATGCCGGGGAGCTTCAGGGCAGTGCACACCCCTGTGTTTGCTTTTCTCTGCAGGCCCCCAAGGCCCCCTCCACAAGTGCAGCACAACGTCACCTGCAACCCAAAGCTGAACCTTGTCATCCCACCTTTCAACCCAGCTGGCTTATCGTTATCATCCCTCACCCGCCTGCACTGCTTCCTGCACTGCTTTCCTCCCTCTACCTAGGTACCTAGTGAGCCATTGTATCACAACCGGACCTTGACCTCCTGCACCTTGCCGCTTCGCCTCCGAGTTTCCGCCTCCCTGGTCCTCGACTTGGAAGATCAGGTCACAAAAGACATTTACTCTCCCCGTGCTTCCCGCCTCTGCTTCTGTCGACACGCTCAACCCCGCCACGCACTGCTGCACACACGTCCCACCCCCACCAACACTGAGAGCACCAGTATGAAGAGGATCGCACAATGCTCCCAGAGCCCACGTTGAACTTCACGCTCCCCAGCATCCACGACGACACGGTCCTCGACTGCCGCGTCTACCACAGCCATGCGCTGAGCCCCGTCCCCAACGCCCCGCCCTGGCGACGACACGCCGCCATCGTTGCACACCCGTACGCGCCCATGGGCGGATCATACGACGATCCTATCGTTGACTCTGTCGCTGAAGCGCTCCTTCGCGCCGGCTATCTCGTGGGCACGTTCAATTTCCGGTGAGCTCCCACCCCCTTCGAGAGTCTTCCCTTCTGTTGCCACCGTTAGAACATGCTCATGTTTGGTGCTGCGCAGAGGTGCCGGCCACTCGCAGGCCGGACATCGTGGACGGGCAAGGCCGAGCGAAACGACTACGT